GTACCTTCCCCTCTTTGCCTGGCACCTATATATAGTGCCTGAACATAGCACACACTCAATAAATATTTCTAAAATGAACAAATGAATCTCAGTATTTTTTCACTATACAGACAAGAAAACTAAGACTCAAAGAGAATATGCTACTTGTTCAAAATCATTCAGCTAGTGAAAACAGAGGTAGGAAATGAACCAAAATTTTTGTGTTCTTTCCATGAATTTTATCATCTAAAATTAAATTAAAACTGAGGAGCAGTTGAATTTGTTGTGCTATTGGATGAACTGCCCTCAAAGATCCTGGCATTCCTCCCTTCACATTCTGCTATTCTGAGTTTAATGGCAGCGGGGTTTTCCATCCTAGCTTCCAACAAAGCTGTTAGGAAAGCATTTGCCACGTAGTATAATGAGACTTTTGAAAATCTATCCAGCACAGAAAGGAAGGACACTTAGTCCTCGAGTTATATTTATTTTTACTTTGTAATGAAGAAAACCTTGTGTGGTCCTATGAATTTTCCCCTAAATGCCATATTGCCGTATATCAAAAACTACTGATAAAAGCAAAAACAAAACAAAACAAACAAAAACCCTGAACCTGGTGTAGTTTAAATTGGAAACTATACATGCTGCTGGTGCATAAATTCGTACAGGTACAATCCATTTGGAAAAAAAAAAAAAAATATATATATATATACACACATATAGCAACATAAAATGAATCATAAAAATGTTTATACCCTATAATACAGCAATCTCACTCCTGGGAATTTATCCTAGACAAGTTATTCAACAGAAGAAGAAAAAAGCCACAAATACACAAATGTTAACTGCATCATTTTCTCCAATAGCAAAAAACACAATGAGAACAAGGAAACAAAATACATGAGAAAATGGCTTAGTAAATTATAGTATGTGCTGAAGATAAATTACTCTTCAGCTGTTAAAAATAATAATCATGGATACTGGGTAGTGATACAGAAAAAATGTAATAGTATTAAACGAGAAGCAGAAGACAAAAGGATTTGCATACTATGATCATCAGCTTTGCAGATAGCTATGTCTAGATGTAAATAAAAACTGAAAGGTAATATTCAGACATGAAAACAGCATTGTAAGGTATTATAATTTGAGATGTTTACACTTTTTTTTAAAAAAAATTTTCTTTCATGTTTTACTGTCTTGTCTATTACATATAAGTTTTAAAATTCTTTCTGAAGTAAATTTGGATTTCTGAGTTTTTCTCAAATTCTCACTTAGAAACGACATCCTGACTCTTCCCATCTTAAATTGACAATCTTCTACTTGAAAAAGGAAAGCAACATAATATTTCCAAATGTCCAAGTCTAAAGGTGGAGAGCAAGAAAACAAGGCTGGATGCACCCATGCTGTTGTTGCTGTCTGAAGGACTGCTGATGAAATCAGGCTCCCAGAGAGGAGAGGAAGAGAGAGGGACCACAGGGCCCTCTTCAGGGTGGCAGTATGTTTACAAGGCCACCTGGAGAGAGGGCTGAGGGAGCAAAAAGGTCAGCACTGCATATACCTGCCTCACCAGGCGGCTGTCTGGCATCCTCTCCCTTCTGCTCATTTCACAGGCATTTTCTGAGGCCCTGACCCTCTGGGGGAGCCCAGATGTCTGAGATGTCACAAGGCCATGTTTTACTTCAGAAGAGATGCCACAGAGAAAGAGGCCTCTTACGGGTCAGGTCCACCATCACGCCGCGTGTGCCTGGTGAGGAGGGACAGATCACCTAGTGCCTCATGTCTGGCTGCTATATACAGAATTCAGCTTTGTTTGCTCTCTCAGAGCTGGCTGACCCACAATGACAAATCCCACAGGAGCCTTATGTTAAAGCTACATGGTTTCCTTGGGAAGAAGAGGGAGCTGGCTAGAAAACCAAAACCAGACAACTGTCCAGGGCACTCCCCCTACCCTGGAGATCAAACCACCAATGAGGAGAATGTTAGGTGAGCACAGAACCCAACACAGAGTACTAGTCTGCTCAGGGAGGCCTTCCATTCAGAAGGATGGCCTGAAGGATAGGATGCAGCCCCTCTGTAACCAAGGAACCTGACAAAACTATCCAGAAGCAGTGTCCCATCAACCAGACTCTACCTCCATGCCCTGGGCAGTCTTGGTCCTTACTTCAGTCCCTATTTACTAGACACCTGAAGGTAACCTTTCATTCCCAAAACTCTGCCCAGCTTACCTCCATTCACAGACCATCTTCCCAAGGGTAGTTTCTAGGTAGCTCAGCTCATCATTTGTGCACTTACTGGCCAGTTTTGATGTCAAATAGAGGACGATCTCTTCTTAGGCCTTGCCGCCAACTCTCAAGGCCTCTCTTTCTGCTGGTAACAGACAGTATGTGATTAAGGACTGAAAGAGTGATGAAGCCCATAATGCTGTGAGGTCAGAGAGGGAGGAGATGCTAAGGTAAAAGCAGGAGATTTGGAGAAAAAAGACTAAAGGCTAGGCCCAGGCTCTATATCTTAGCAGCTCTATAGCCTCTGGCAAGTCAGTCAACCTTCTGTGCCTCAACTCTCTCATTCATAAAATGGGACTAGTAGAGTTGACCTCTCAGGCAGACACATTTTGTAAACTGCAAGGTGTATTTGGTTATTCTCACTGTGGGCTGGAGTGTTCTGGGAACAGCAGAATGTAAGGTAGGGCTTAAAGGTTGAGGAAGCTTCAGGACACCTGGTCAGAAAGAAGATGAGTACTCCAGGCATGAGAAATGGCACTAGCACAGGAAAAAAGGTAGAAGGGATGTACCAAGTTTGGCTGCAGTAGAAAGCTTGTGCAGGGAAGAAGCCAAGGTTAGTTTGGAAAGGCAAGTGGGCTGTATTCTGCTGGTAATAGGGAGCTATCACACTTTTTGATCAAGTAAGTGAAAGGATGAGAGTCATGTTTTAGGAAGATCAGACTGACAGAGGTGTGAAGGATGGACGGATTGGAGGAGGGTTAGAATACAGGCAGGGTGATCACAGGAGGGTGCCGAACTCCAGATAAGACAGAAGATGAGGGCCTTAATGAAGGCCATGGCACGAGGGCTAAAGAGGAGAAAGCAGATTTGAGAGACAGGTATAGAAAAAAAGACACGGTGACAGCGTATTAGAGGAAAAGAATGCTTGGGGACCATTTTCAAGTCTCCCTGACATCACTATCTGGGTGGACAAGGCTGCTCACCAAGCTACAGAATAAAGAAGACACCAGAGAACCGGGAAGATCAAAGTATTTGGATATGTCTATCTAGGATGTCTTAGAATGTCCAAGGGATACTAACCAGAAATTAAGTGAATATATGAGTCTGGAGCTCAGCAACAGAGATGTGAATTGAAGCCACCCAAGATGAGTTCACCCAAGAACACTGTGTACTATGAAAAGTTAAGAGAGGCAAGGACAGAAGGCTGAAGACACCAATACTTAAATGGTGGACAAATATAGAAGAACCTGAAAGGAAGACAGAGAAGTAGCCAGAAAGATAGGAGGAGGGCAAGAGATTAGTTAGAAAAAGAAGTCAAATGGGTAAAGTACAACAAAGAATAAGTGGTATGAGGAAGAGTACATACAGTTCAGTGTTTGGTTAATTGATGACCTCCATAAGAGCAATTTCATTGAAATAATGGGGCTGAGAGCTAGACTGCAGTGGATTAAACAATGAATGGGAAGCTAGCAAATGGACAGGATTTGTTGACTATTCTTTTGGGGAGCTTGGCTGAAAAGGAAAGAGCAAGGGTAATAAATAGAAACAGGGAGAATTTAGGATATTTTAGCTAAAATGTATTTTAGCTGAAGGGAACAAGGCACAGAAAATATACCCAAACACACACTGAGTGACTGAGGGAATGTGATCTTGAACATTGGCTGAGACTTAAGACGGAAAGGAGGTCTCCTGCACTTTAGTTGAGAAAGGGAGGTGAGGGTAGGTGCATTCATTCACTTAACGATCATTTGTTGAACATGTACTACATGCTAGGAGCTAGGAGTCCATGGATAAAAGAAAGTAATCCTCCAGCCTTTAAGAAATTTGGTCTAGTAGGAAAGACAAATGTGGATCAACAATTACATAAGAGCTCTGTACTAGATTTTGAGGTGGCACAGTGGGGGGAGGTGAGCAACTATGGCTGAATGGGTCAGAGAAGTATTACAAGAGGAGACCCTTGCATAGAGTCCAGATCGAGCAGGGGTTCTCTGGTCCAGGAGAGGAGGGGGTCACGGGCATGCCAAGTAGGTTGCAGTGAAAATTAAAATGTGGCAGGTAGAAGATTTACAGGGTCTGGAGAATAAAGAACCCTAAAGCGACCAGGCGTAGAGGTCCCTGAACTCAGGTTGTTCCAACTGAGGACGACCGGGACGACAGCACAAGAGCAAAGGAGAAAGGAAGACCTTGAGCCCACTCAGTAGTGTGGGCGAGAAGGTCCCGGAGAGTGGTAGAGACATCTAGAAAGACTTTAAAGGGAGCAGGAATAAAGGGAGCAGGAAGAGACATCGGGTGGGCACACAGGGTCAAACAGGACCTTGCGATTTCTCACTGCGGCCAAGGGACAAGCAAGCAACCGCTACCGCCCGAGCCGAGCCGACCACCAAAAACACAGCGAGACGCATGGGGCTGCTCAGGATGGGGCGGTTGGTGAGCAGCAGAGAAATACAGTGGCCCCAGCAGGTTCCTGGGCCGTGTCCCTGGGAAAAGCGCCCGGCCCACCTGGACCCCAGCTGCGTGCACTACAGCGTCCCAAGCCCCGCCTTCCGCGCCAGCGCTCCGCCTCTGAACCCGAGCGCACGCGTGACAGCACAGAGAAGGCTCTCGGCCCCCGCAGCCTCCGGAACAACTCTCTGACGGAGAGTTCACCCCACAGGAAGTGGAAACAGCAAAACCCGCAGCAGCTCAAGACCCGCGACGCCAAAAAAGCTCCGCCCGCGGCCCGGCCTCCGGACCGGAAGTGAGGCGTTGGCTCCGCCCCCGAGCTCGATAGCTCGCGAGACTTTGCAGAGCCCTTCCTTTTTCGTCTCGATCGCTGACATGGTAGGTGATTTTTCTGATGCGTCCGCATAGTTGCTGGCCTAGGTCGCGATCTTTACTCACCTTGCACCCCAGCCACCTACTCCCGAGCTTGGCCCGGTCCTCCAGGCCGCGCATGGCCAGCCGCAGGGCGGGGTAGCCGGCGTGGGTCCGGGGCGGGGCGGGGAGCCTGGGGCCGCGTGTTCATCCTGCGGTTCGGTTTCTCGAGACACGCGGTCCGGGGTTCCCGGGCGCCTCCCTGATGAGGCCGCACGGCCCCGGGCCAAGCCGTAATCTCGACTTTGCTGAAGGTGCACCAAAGCAGATCCTTGATCCCCAGGCCTATAGGCCTCTCACAGACTGGCAAGCTTCGGCCCCTGCCCCTCTTCCCTTAGGCCTTATCACCAAGCACCTTTTCCCACACAGCCATCCAGACTAAGGAAGACCCGGAAACTTAGGGGGCACGTGAGCCACGGCCACGGCCGCATCGGTAAGTACTGTCTCCACATCCTGGTCGGCCTTGGGCTATCTCTGCATGGTGCTAGCTTGTCAGTAAGTAGGTAACTTAGAGAAGTGGGTTAGTTAGAGCTCTTGGCGGTCGAGTCGGATTGAATTTGATCATTAGCTGTTGGCTTTATCTTTGAGAATTCTCTAGTACTCCAGTTTTAGAGAATTTCACGTCAGTTGGGGGGTTGGAAATTGAGCGGGGTCCAGTATTGAATTGGTTGAAGGTATGGAGTACTGTGTTAGTGCTGTGAGGTGGAACACTGCAGAGTGATGATCATCCCAGAGTCTTGAAGGAACAGCATTGCTGGAAGAGGAGTATTAAGCAAAGGCACAGAGGTATGGGGAAATGCTTTTGCGAGAAGTAATATCGAGGGGTTGGAGAAGGCTATTTTAGCCATGTAGCTTTGTGTTTCTGCAGGCAAACACCGGAAGCACCCGGGAGGCCGCGGTAATGCTGGTGGCATGCATCACCACAGGATCAACTTCGACAAATAGTGAGTGTTTTTCGGACCCTGCCTTTCCTGACACTGACAGCTTTGGATTTAGGGGTAGAGAGTAGTTAAGAACATCTTCAACGGGAAGCAAGGCTCTTACCACTCAGAAACCTTGCTTGTGGCTGGGTTTCGTCAAGTTAATATTTGATGTGAACTGAGAACTTGTCACCGAGGCTAGAGTCACGCTTGGGTATCGGCTATTGCCTTAGTGTGCTAGAGTCCTCGAAGAGAAACTGCTGACCTTATTCACTGGCTGTGGCCCTCGTGGCATAGTCAGTCACCGGGTTAGTGACATGCATCAGATTGACTTACACAACTGTTAGATCCGTTTAACGCCCACAAATTAGCGGGGTTGTGTTTTAACTATTTGTTTAGGAGACCTGTGTTACAGGAGTGTGGGGAAGCTGTCAAGTGACCTGAATCCTAGTCTTGGCACTGCCTCTGACTTTCTCAGTGACTTACTTTGGTTCCGTGAAATAAGGCTAGTCTTTTCCACCCGATAGTCTTTGGTGGCTTTTTAAAGATTTGTTTTATTCAAGAAGGGGAGTACCTGCTTTGTCACTCTTGTGCATGAGTGCACACCTTACACTGTAATGGGGGGAGATGGACTGTGGAGATGGTAAACATAGCTTTTTAGTTGGAGTGAGGTAATGGAAATGGTTGCCTTCTTTTCTCAGTCACCCAGGATACTTTGGGAAAGTTGGTATGAGGCATTACCACTTAAAGAGGAACCAGAGCTTCTGCCCAACTGTCAACCTTGATAAATTGTGGACCTTGGTCAGTGAGCAGACACGGGTAAATGCTGCCAAGAACAAGACTGGAGCTGCTCCTATCATTGATGTGGTGCGATCGGTGAGTGAATTGAATATTTTTTAACTTTCAAAATTCTGGATAATATACTTGCACCTAAAGTCTATACCCAGATACCTACTAGACAGTTCCACTTTCCATAGCATTTCCACGGGTACTTACTGATCAAAATTGAACTCTTGTTCAATTGTGATTCATGCAAAACATTTGAAGAGTAGTTCTTCCACTCCCTCATTCATTTACTTCATTTTTCACTTGAACGTTTTCCGATCGGTTATCTTATTCCTAGTGTCAGTGCCCTGATTTGTACGGGTTTCTCACCTGAACTATTGGTAGTAATTTAGGTCAGCTGGCTCTGGTCTGTTTTACACAAGACTGCATGAGGCACAGCCCTTGGCTCTTTATGTTTCTTACAGAAAAAAATCCTAATATGTTCAATTGTTATTTAAGGCCCGACATTATCTGAAGAGAACCCCCGCCCCCCCCCCAAAAAAAGCATTTTTATATATCATTAGGAGTTCTGGTCCTTGTGTCAGTCTTACCCACTGTGGGTATGGAGGTGGTGGGAATCCTGAGGGGGCTTTCAGTAAAGTTTTAAATTTCCCTTTCTCAGCCTTTTCTTTGAGCAATTCTGATGACCATGACTTGGAGCATTGCTGGAAATGTGATTTTCCTTTTTTGCTTATCAAGTCGTAATTGAATAGGAGAAAGGGTTTGAGCTCTGCCCGAGACTAGAGTCACATCCTGACAGCTCTTGTCCTGGTGTGCTAGAGTCCTCGGAGAGAATCTGCTGGTCTTGATTCACTGGCGAGGGCAGTCAGTGCCCCCGGGAGTGCCCAGATCAGAAACATGCCCTCCCTGGCCCCTAGATGGAGTGGATTGGTAGGCATTTTTCTTCGTACCCATCACAGAGTTGGTGACTGCCACGGTGCATTATAAACCCTTTTCTCTGTTCTTCTAGGGTTACTACAAAGTTCTGGGGAAGGGAAAGCTCCCAAAGCAGCCTGTCATCGTGAAGGCCAAATTCTTCAGCAGAAGAGCTGAGGAGAAGATTAAGGGTGTTGGTGGGGCTTGTGTCCTGGTAGCTTGAAGCCACGTGGTGGGAGATTCATTAAATGATAACAAGTGCTTTTCTCTTCTGGTCTGAGTGAGGGTTCTTTGGCACTTCTACCTCCCTACCTGTACAGAAACCCACCTAACAGGTTCTAGGAGTAAGGGTTTGAGGACCTGGGCTCTTCCACCAGCTCCCCTCAAAGTATGGAAGAGATGGCACCAACACTGAGAATAAGGCCTTGGCTGGTTACCTAATTTGAGGCTTCTCACTTACAAAGCGAGAATGATACCTCTTGGTGCCGTCATACCATTGAAAGGCCTGTTGGCATTGTGTGCTCTGACTTTATAAATGAGTGGGACAATGTGCCCTTAATTGTTCCATGTCAAGGGGGAAAACTCATGATCTTTACAAGACTTTGATGAGTCATGTTGGAAAGATGGGTCAGTGGTAGGATAGAAGTGGTTCTTTGGGACTTACTTCGTCAGTTTAAGGTTCTTACACCTGGCTTCCTCATCTCAGACCAAACCATTCTGTTGATAATCAAAATGTTGGAATGGGGCCCAACAGTCTGAATTTTAAACACACCAGGGCTTTTACACATCAGAGTGGTTTGGATTCTAGAAAGCAGTTGTCAGGATTTATGGGTCCTTGTGCATAGGAGTCTTCATGTTCAAAGAAATAACGTCATGAAATGCTAATGATTTTCCTTCCAGCGTGAAATGTATCTAATAGAGAAATTTGGGGAATGCTAAAAGGCCAGAAACCAGAATCAGGTTTCCTAGGGTTTGTTACCTCCTGCAAAACCAAGAAGATGAGCAATGCTTGTGTGCAGATAGGACCGTCTTAGATCCTGGTAAATTATAATTTGGTATAGTTTTCCAAGATTTTGAAAGTTTTTTGGCCCATAATAGAACTTGCAGTCTAGAACCCTGACCAAAGAATAGTTAAGATGGCACTTAAGCCTCCTAAAACTCTACTTACATGTTTAGTTTGGTAGAGGGTGGTTTCTGTATTGTTTTGTGGGATCATAAATAGACTGGGAACTATGACTTTCTGTGAGACTAATTTGTCATGACAGCCTTCAGAAGATATTGGGGATGGTCAAATGTAAGGAAAGACAGGGGAGGAAATGTAATTGATTTGTATAATGGAGAGTTAAAGGTGTCAGGAAGGCACTCAGCTGGATAAGCTAATAACGATCATTAACATCTTCTGTTGGTACTGGTGGAGAAAGGTAAAAATCGGGTTTCCCTTAATGTCTTTTGGAGGACTTATAATAGGGAAGCTTCAATGCCTTCTAGACACTGAAGGTACATAAATGTGTAAATACAGTGTCTTAAGATTCAGGCCGGATTTGAAATTTATATCTAAACCTAATAGCTGTGTGACTTAGGCTTAGTCCAGTTTTCTCATCTTTAAATTTAGGTAAACGTACCTACTTGAGGATTGTGTGGATTAAGTAAGATGGAAAGCATTTACTAAATTTTTGTGTTTCGCTCTTAGTAACCAGCATGTAAGTGAACCATTATTACCCGAGCAGACAAGTCAGTTAACCTTGGTGTGATTCAGTCAATGGGAAAGTGGTCTAAACACAGGAAAGAGCAAACATGCATTTAGGAAACCCAGTTTGGAAAGGTTAGGCAAGTTGGGAGGTGTTATATGGGAGAGGAGCATGGAGCGAACAGTTATTCTGGCCCGGCTGTAGCTTAAGGGCACAAGGCTACAGTGGAAGGCTGGAGGCGGGACCGTGAGGATGGAAGACAGGATTCAGAAGACATAAGGGACAGACAGGACTTGGTGACTGAATTGGGGTGGGGCTGGCAGCAAAATATGGTTTAGGGGGAGGATAGGTGGTCAGTCCCTTTATGGCTAGCTTCCTCCAAGGTTTCATTGCTAGAACCTTGCAGTATAACTGTCCTGAAACTGGGTGGGATAATGCTCATCCCAATCCTATATGGAGGTGCTGCTGTTGGACATGGATGCTAAGTATGAAAGTCAGTCACTAGTACAGCCATTCTGAATAGGGAGGATGCCTCAAGAGTATAGCTGCTGATCTGTGTGAGCTGCCATGTTCTGGCTTGCTCACTCACCATTATCTACAGGTAATAACTGGGCAGATGCTCTGATTACTCCCAGGTAATACTGTTGCCAAAGGAAGCTGGGTTACTGGTGAAAAGCCAAACATGTTCAAGATAATGGAGGATACGGACCTAGAGCAAGTGCTTATCTTTCATAGGACCAAAGGCAAACCTTACGCTTTGGTTTTATATCTGAGAGTGAAACGTGCCAATGCTGAGATACGTAATATAGCCGATGCATAGGAAAAGTTCATGCATTAGACTGTCGAGCTTTGATTAGCCTGTCCGGTAGGCACAGAGACCCATACTGCCACTGCCTCTTTAGTGGCCGATGATAAGTGCACGGTGTTGATGAGATTCTCCCATGTAGGGGGAGCAGGTGCCCCATAACTTAACAGGTGCCCCCTAACTCAGGTTAACGGCTAAATTCTCTATCAGCTTGAATTGCTAAGTATATTTCTAGCCTAATAATTAATGTATGTGCTTTAAATACATTGTTATTCAAACCTCGGAGCTGCCACTGTGACTTACAATTTATGGGAAATGTCCGCCACATAATTTGCAAAAGCCCTCATTGTCAAAACCAGCTAAATAGGATTTTAACTTTTCAATTCAAATAAATATTACTATGCGATGGCTAACTAGCCCGGTAGCAGCCAGCCCGGGATGAAAAGCAGCCAAAGGCGTGCACCACCGGCGGGAGGCAGGCAGCGCTCGCGTACCTGCGCTGCGGGGTGGGAGGTTACCGGGATGCCAGCGGCTGGAGCCCTGTGGAGGCTGGCGCCCTAGCAGCCGCTCTCGTTGGTCCCTACCGCCCGACGTCCTTGGCGCACTCAAACCGTCCGCACCGCACAGCCGCTCTCCTCTCCCTAGCCGCTGAGCCACTTCCTGAGGGTGTGAGGTTCTGGTTCCGGCGTCACTTTGATCTTTGTCCCATCCCACCCCAGGGCCGGAAGCATGATAGGCGCCGATCCGCCATTTCCGGCAGGGGGCGGGGCTGGCCCGTGGCGCGTGGACGAGGCGGGAGGTTTAACCCGGCCAGTGTCCAAGTGCGGCGTGGTGGGCGCACAGCCTAGGTCGCCTGCCTCGCCGCACTCAATTTCCGCTTTGGCTGCGCGGAAGAAGAGAAGCTGTGGCCTTTTGATGCACTTTCAAGATGGGAATTTCCATATCTCTCAGATTACGTTGCCGTTAAAAGATAATGAGTGTTCGACGTACTTTGGGATTAAAACAAAACAAAACAAAAAACTTGTACGTGCATGGGAAGGTTCTGGAAGAACAATGCAGAAGGGATTTTTTCCTCATGAGTTTTGGGAGATGAGGAAGATGATGTATGCTTTGGTAGTTTGTTTCTTCCTTAACCAAATGCATATTACTTTCACGTTAAAAAGCAATATAAATAGACAACTTTAACTACAAGTTATGGTAGCTTGTCAGTGCTGAAAAGTAATATTTTCTCTTATTCTAGAACTTCATGACCTTTTAAATTACACCCACCCCCACAGCCCATAGGCAAGTAAATTCAAGATGTTTTCGAATGCCACACTGTGTGGCTCTAGAAACTAATTTTGTGTGTCGCCCCTAGGAAGAATATAGGTTAAGTGTATGTTTCATTTCTGGCTCTGTTTTGCAGCCCAGTTTTTGTTTTACTTTCATTTCCACTTAAAGTTGGTTTTAAAAAATAAAAAACCCCAATTTATGTATCCTTATAAATCAGTCCTTTGGGGTACAAGGTGAGTTATAAGTCTTATTTGCAAAACAAAGGGTATTATTTTTAACACAATTTAAACTGATCTGTGATATTAGAATAATTTTCTTGGGGTCCTAATTCCACATACCATCCAGCGTGAACCACAGTTGCTTTCCAAGAGCATTCCAAAATATTGCCTTTAAAAAGCCCATACTTCTCATTTCAACATTGTGTTTACCAGAGCATGGTAATTTACTGAAAAGAGCATTTAGAAAGATGTAATGGCGCAACCTGCCCTGCTCTGCTCTAAAAGTTACCAGACCGATTACTGGAGAAAACCCCAGGGCCTTTCTTAACTCCAGAATGGAGGAGGGCTGACAGTTCATAGGCACTGGGACTTCTGGTAGAGGAGACAGCATTGCGCTGCCCCTGAGCAATTTCCCAGAAAGGCACTGTCTAAGCACTGTTATTTTCAGTAGTGTGGACACCATCCTCGGGGTGGGGGTGGGGGTGGGGGGGGTGGGGCGCATTTTGTAAAGGTACGGGAGCATTTTTGGTCACAATTATGGAAGGGAAGCAACCAGAGATGCTTGATGTCCTGCAATGTATGGGTTGATTCTAAACCAGGGGTCCGCGGTCTGTTAGGAACTGGGCTGCACAGCAGGAGGGGAGCAGTGGGCAAGTGAGCAAAGCCGCCTCTGCTGCTCCCCATCGCTCACGTTACTGCCTGAGCCACCCCCCAGCCCCACCCCTTACCTGGAAGAACTGTCTTCCGTGACACTGGTCCCTGGTGCCAAAAAGGCTGGGGACTGCTGCTCTAAACAGCAAAGGAAAACCTAGCTTAGAACCTACCTTCGTTTTACACACAATCAGAATCAAAAAGATGTGTTATTGGTTTTTTGTGTTTGTTTTGTTTTTGTTTTTTGCAGGTTTCATATACTTCTCAGTTTTCCAGGATTCCAACTATTGTTTAAATCAGGGGAAGCTCAAAATGTGTTTTGTTTAGAATATTGCCAAAAATGGTTCATTTCAGAAAACTCTCTTACTAAGTGGTTAACACCCACTTAGTAGAATCTGAGTTGCTAATTCAACACCTTTTCTGCATGTGTAGCTGTTGCATTCACAGTAATTCTGTGTACGGGCGTAAGCATCTGACTTAATTATATCTTATAATACAGTTGTGCCCAAGCATTCACATATTTTAAGTACATGTTATTTTATGACAAAATACTTTTCCTTTTATTTCTCCCCTTTTATATTATGGTTAAGACTATATTACAGTTAAGATGTGTTTAGGTAGGTTACATTATCTATGAATTTCATTTCAGGATAGTAAAAGGGAGAGTTAACAGTATTTGCTATAGAGAAAGAGTGTTGCATCTGCTAGGATTGAGAACCATCAGTTTAGGTGTCCAGAGATCACGTGAAAGCAGAACTTGGAAAGGAGCCCTACATACTTTTTGTCAACCCCAAACCAGGCCCCCTAGACACACCCTCCTCTACCTTCCAGGTGAGACTTCTGGGCGAGGCACAGAGCAGTCACTGTACGGGCCCTTACAGCCCATTCCAAGGCACTGTGTACCAATATCGGTTTTCTAGATTGGGATGAGAGCTGTGGCCATGGGAGGAGGCGGGAACCCCTAGGGTTAAAATGCACTGTACTTTAAAGCTACATACAAGTTACAGATTTTTAAAAATAATAATTTACATCTATATACCTTGTGATCTGATCACATGTCGAGGATTCTGTGGAGCCACATTAAAAAAGAGAGGGAGAGGAAAGGAGAAAGAAATAGCACCTTTTGTAAACTATTATTTTATTAAGGAATCCACTTCTATGACTCACAGGATGAGTTAACAGTGACAAGTTCTGGAGGTAACAACACCCTACTCTGGACTTTCCAGTTATAACCACTGTCTTCTCTCTCTACCTCAGCTGAAAACCCAGCCTCATGAGGCCTCAATCCCTGCCCTCCTATTCCTGGAAGATGCCAAAGCCAACTATGTAAGAGGCTTTCTCAGAGGAGAAGACGAATTTGTCTTCCCAGAAGACAAACCCTCTACTTTGCTTTATGAGGCAGACAGCAACCCCAAACCACGGACAGGTTGGGACCTGTGCAGGGCTCAGTGGAGATGGGGAAAAGAAGGAAAGGGGATTCAGGAAGGGATCATCTTCTGTTTAACAAGCAGGCTAAGGTGGAAGGACAGGAAAACTTCACTCTATGATTCAAATCCACCAGACTCAAAGCCAATACCAATGAAGAGACTTCCAGCTTAATGCCTCATCCTGGGAATTTTCAAGGTCTCAGCTCTGTGAAGGCCTTGGGTGAGTGGAAAGCCTAAGCCACCCATATTCCCCACCTTGCTTCTCTCCTTGCTTTTCCAAGGAATATAGCAGAATTTTCTATATGCACACCTAGACTTCCAATGGAAAAAAAACTTCACAGAGTGACATGGAAGAGCCGTAGACAATGGGCCAGGGCTATAAGCCAGCCCTGGATTGGCTTTAGCTGGGCTTGACTCCACCAGTGTTAAGATACCCAATGATGTCTTAAGGGCTTCATACTGAATAGGAAAATGTCAAGATTCACCTAATAGTGGAGCCAAGGGGCAATGAACATTCTTTCCATCACTGGAAACACATAGGATCTGAACAGTTAGCTGTTGGAGAGGGAAGCTGAGCTAGACCAGTGATTAGGTATCTTCTAAGAGCAGTCATACAGCTCGGGCCAGAGAACTCAATTTCAGGGGAGGTCAGTGACCCACACTAAAGCTAAACTCTTAAATCAAGTACTCAGTTCCCTGCATGAAGGTGTTTCATCCCTGATGGGCCTGCCTCAGCCCATCCCCCTGGAGAGAGAACTCTAGATAATAAAGCCAAGAAACACATGGGGCTCTGGGCCCAAACAACTATACACTGTTTATTGAGAACACCCGTAGATGATGGGAAGGAGGGATGCCCTGTACCGCATCATGGCTACCACTGACTGGGAGCCGGGCCCAGAGAACACTAGCAGAGCTGGGGGGTGGGCTTCCCATGACTCACTGACCATCACAAAGGTGGGAGGAATAGGAGAAGGCCAGGCCCAAGAGCCTGGTACCATGCTGCAAACGGGGGTTGATTGGTCTTTGCTTTTCAGAAACAGAGGATTAGGGGAGGGGGACTACTAGAAAAAAATAGAAACTCTAAGATTAAAAAAAAATAGTCCTGTACATAACAAGACAGCATCTGCTCTCCAGGGCCCGAGACTGGCAGCAGGGGCCTTAGGCAGGCAGGCCAGGAGCCTCCAGGGGAAGATCAGTGGTTCGGCTGAGACAGTCAGCTGCACATAATTGGCCAGTCGCCAGCACCCAGCAAAACTTCATCCATGCTCGGGCAGGGCAGGAAAGCACCCGGCCTCTTGGGAATACGCAAATATTTACCGGATTCTCTGCTCGTTACAGAAACAGATAAGAAAGCTTACAGCAGATTATTTACAAACAGTATCCTGGGATATTGTGAAGGCAGAGGTGGGCTGGCTTGGAGGGTGGGGTCTGTGGGGGCAGAGCAGCCATAGCAGCCCAGAGGGTCCCAGGCTGGGCCCCCTCCCCAGGCTCCAGGCTCTGCAAGGCACTGGACTCTGTTACTGGGAAAGGGGGCTTAATTCTTCTTGTGGAGGAACTTCATTTTGTTGCCTGTGGGCCAGAGGAGGGCAAGAGTGAGAATGTTTCAGTATCATCTCTTCCAACAGCCCTAACCCTCTCAGTGGGAGAGAAGGATTAGAAAGACTGGATTACAGCTAGGTATGATCCAGGATGGTGAAAACACTCTAGAGCTCTAATTAGAGCACTGGTATTAATCATGTATGGATTTGGGCAAGCCATTTAACTTCTTCGGTCTCAATTTTCCTTTTAAAGTGAGACATGCTATGATGCTGTGATTTAGTTGGCTCAGCTCTTTGAAGGGCACTCTGGTGCTGCCACTTTTGTAGTTAGACCCCTTATAGCCTCGAGGAAAGCTCACTGGTCCTAATGGCCCTTGTGCTCACTCAGGAAGGAGTGCACCCAGGAAGACCTGACCTAGGTGAGGCTCTATGAGATCTCTTCCTGTTCTGTCTACAGCCCCGATATAAATACTGGCATGGGTTTAGAGTAGTTTGGGGTACAGATTCCCCCAGACCCTCCCTTCTTGCTGAATATGTCTCATTAGTGACAAAGCTACTTACCCAAACCGCGGAGAAACTTGTTCATTCCACTCTGCTCAGTGTCTGGCAGTTCCTCTAAATACTGCTCCACTCGCTGCTCAAAGAGGCCTGGGGAAGAGGAGAAACAGGAACAGAGAAGAGAACAGTCATTGCAGGAAGGGAAGGGGAGGCCTCCTGGAGGGAGACCAAAGGGCACAGATCCCAAAAAGGGGGAAACCAAAGATCTGCAATTATAAGAGCATCCTACCAGAATTCAGACTGGCTCATCCATTCAGACTGGGCTTATCAGACTGGCCCATGTTCACTGCTGATGGCAAGAGCCCCTTGCCTCCCAGTGCACGTTCCTGAGCTGCATTATGGTGAGGATGCCACTCCTCGTAACAGAGCTGCCCCCAAGTGGACACCTTCTCCAGCTCCTTTTAGACCACACTACCATGTTGTTTCAAAAGGTTTGTTACACTAAATGGACAGTATTAGTGGGCAGAATAAATAATAACCCTGAGGTTAGAAAGGTCTTGATGAGATGAAAAAGCCCTAAGGTGGGCAGAGCTGATAAAATAACAGAGATAAGATAACCTTTGTGCTCTGAGGGCAGACTGTCACCAACCTAAAACAGTGAGCTAGCTCAGTTCTCTTCAGGGGCTTTCTCAACCCTGGATTCTCAGGACTCCCTAAACTGCACAGTCTGGTCTTCTTCTCTGAGTAAGGAAGGACCTGTGAATGCTGCGGGGATAGGTGGAGATAAGCCCCACTCTTGCCACGTGGCTCCAGCCTGTGCCCAGGCTTCTGAATGCACGTACTGGGGCAGGAGGAGAAGGTGCCCTTGGCAGTCTCTCTCAGAAGAAAAGGGATGTTAGGAGGCCTGCCCTGGCTAATAACTCAAGAGCTTCCTGATGGAAGCTCACCAGTGCCTGGCTACTCAGCCCTGTGGGTAGCAGAAAAGTTGGAGGACTCCTGACATCCCCCCAGAACCCCCCACCCCAGGCTCTCCTGGCCTTACCCTTTGCCCGACACTTTCTTAGCTCCCTGTCTTGGATGAAGCCAGCAAACATCTGAGACTCCATAAAAACTTCAAGAAAACGGCGGATGCTTTTGGAGGCCACAGACTTGCGGAAGGCCTCTCGCTGAAAGGCCCGCTCCCCCTTCTCACTCTGGGTCAGGAAGAGGGAGTAGTGCCCAACAGTCTCCACAAAGAACCGGATAAACACCTCTGACACCAGCCCATTGAGGGTATTACATTCTGGAAGAGAAGAGAAAATCTTTGAGGTTCAGGTCAAGAGCCTGCATCCCCAGCCTCCAGCTGGTGGTGTCTCCCTCTCCTCGACGGAACTCCAGCCAGAACCACTTCTCTGTTCTTGAAACCTTAGCTCTTGTGCTCCCAGGCTTGTAACTCGTTCCTGAGCCAGGAGGTCGGAAACTGTGCTCTGAACACGGAAGCTGGGGAATACTTGCTGGATGAATGAAGATGGAGATTAGGGACCAGAGCGCCACTCCCCACACACCCTCACCCTCAGTGGTTTCCCTGGCTTCACAGGAAGAGGAAGCTCCCTCCATCTCCTGCAGTGGCTCGAGGCAGGGCCTGAGAGGGAGGAATAACTAGTGTCTGGTCAGCGAGAAGAGTCTCTGCGGTTGCCAACTGTCTTCAGGGTTTTTCTCCCCAAACTTCCTGAGGTAGAGAATTAGAGGCAAGAGGTAGCTCTGTAGCCTGGGCCACCCTAGGAGCAGCCCCAATGTTTAAGTTTCTGAACTCCCTCTGATAAAATATCACACTATTTCTCTCCCCTGAGACCCAGTCAAGCCACAACTCCTAGAGCCACACTAGTGGGGCTAGAGAATTCTAGGCTAAAGCGAGACCAAGGTCCTATACCTGAGCTTCACTAGCCAGAAGGGTCTGGTGCATAGAATCAGGGTCCAAGCCCCATGAGGCCCAGGCCCAGGCCCAGAGCAGAGGGAGTCTGGGACCAGAACTGATTCTAACTGGGGCAAGCCTCACTCACCATCATCGGAGTCGCTGTCAGAGTCCTGGGAGATCAGTTCATTCTTCCTCTCTAGAGCCTGCTCCAGAGCCGCCTGCAACTTCCTAGGTAACAACGTGTCCTCGTCATCCATCTGCAGGAGAAGGAAACCGCACAGTGACACTGACTGAGCACTTAACTTCGTGCCAGCCCTGTTTGAAGAGCCTGAATATATAATCTCGTTTCATTCTCCCAAGAACCCTGATACTATTATCAACCTCATTTTAAGATGAGAAGCTGAGGCTCAGAGAGAGGTTAAGAAACTTGGCCAGGGTCACAAAGATAAAAAGTGGTGGAGCAGGTGGCATTCACTGCCCAGGACCAACAGGGCTTCCTACCCCAGCACCACGATGAAGTCTCCCCAGTTCCTCCATCTTCGGCTCCAGGGGGGAAGCATGGTTGGCTGGGGGAGGGGAGATTGTGGCCCAGCCTGTGTCTCAGGCGTGAGGCGAGGCTGTTGTGCCTGTCTCTGTATTCTGGTTCAGTGTCTGCATCGTGACGTTGGTACCCAGGAGTCGTAGCTCTGTCAGTGGTGTGTAACAGACTACATTCCCAAAGGCTATGGCATTGGGTTGTGTTCCTTTATAGAGAGCCAGGAGGATTTCCACCACCAACAGAGGCTTTTTGAAGTTGACAATGATTGCAAACCTTTACATTCCACTGCATTCTGTGTGTCATGTATAATCCTCCAGCAACATTTCAAGGCAGGTGTTATCACCATGCGTGTTTTAGAGATGAGAATTCTGGTTCAGAGAAGTTCAGAGGCCTGTTCAAGATCATGTGTCTCAGAGGGGGCAGAGGGCAGAGGTCAAGCCTTTGGATCCAGGCCATGTTCTTCACACACTCACACTGCCTTCCAGAAGCTGACGATGCCGACCAGAACAGCAGATCCTGCTGAGGTCAAGACTTCTCAGACCAGCTTCTTTCTACCCTTGTCTGTTCTGTGAATGCGGAACCCAGAGGGCTCAACAATCAGGCTGTGAAGGTGGAGTCGTGTGTGTGACAGTGTTGGGTGCTCTGCATCAAACAAGCACCCACCCTGGGTCAGGCCATGCTCTGCAGCATCCCACTCTTACCTGTCGGATGAATCGGTCAGACCCCAGATTCACCATCAGTGCCTGAGAAAGAGTCACGAGGGACAGTGATTCACTATACGAATCCCTGTAGTGCCCTTCCCAGGCCTCCAGCCCTCCTGGATTCCCAGGGTCAGATAACAGGAATAACTCCAGCCAGGGAAAGACCTCCCAAGGAGAAAGGATAAGAGCTGGGTACACAAAGGAGAAGATCCCAGCAGCCTCGGGCCCCCACCCCCACCCCTCCTGGGGGTTTCTGTTCCTTCTGTCCCTTCCTTCCTCCACACCACCCCCCCCCCCCCCCCACCCCCGCCACTGGCTCCCCAGGTGGCCCACCTCTTCCACAGGCAGCTCCTTCAGTTTGGGGAGGGAGCTGGAGAGCAGGCCAACCAGGAAGGGGGTGGGACAGCAGACGATGTCAATCATGGAGGCCGGGAGGACAGGAATGAAGGTGTGCTGCCAGGAGAAGGGGTAGAGCAAGGCCACCACCGCATGGGAGCAGCTGGATAGGGTACTGGCAGACAGACAGACAGACAAAGCACTGAGCCCAGGCCCAGCACCTTCGGGGAAGGGGCGTTACAGCCTGCTGGGCCAGGCTCAGGACATCCTTTCATGTTAAACCTCCCAGTGCCACAAAATGCTAAGGAGTCTTGGGCCTGGGTCTGACCTTGCAGACTGGTAAAGCTCCCACATTGCCACTGCTCGGGACCTCAGGGACAATGGCGCTACCCTCTTTGGTGGCTCTACCTAGGAACAGTCATAAAGGTACACAGCGACACTTGAACACACATACACACCCCCAAGAGCCACCCAAATGCACAGGTGGGCCTGCCTTAGTGTGGGAGTATCAGCTCAGGCCAGGGAGTACAAAGGTAACCTGAGCAAGGGCTGATCACAAATTCATAGTAAGAGCTGGAAGGGCCTACAGCTGGAAGGTCATCTTATCAGGTCCACATTTTACAGCTGGGGCCATTGATACCCAGGGTCAGTCTGGTCATAAGTGGCACACCTGGGACACAACCAGTTCTCCTGTCTCCCAGCCCAGTGTTACTTCTACCATTCTTCTTCTCTATCCATTCCTCCTTCTCCTAATTGGAAAAAGTGGTCTGACTGAGGACCACTGACTGAGGTGAGGCTGGTACCATTCTTAACCACTCCCATCTGTCCTCTCATGCTCCAGGACATAGCCAGAGGCCTCAGTGGGGCCATCCTTCTCTTGGCCTAGAGGGGGGCTCCAGGCCTCCAGCACCACAGGGCTGGGTGGCCAGGCAGAATGACCAGTGGGAGACGGGAAGGAGAATCTCCCCGATGCTAACTAGAAGGCACAGAAGTGAGTGCTGAGGGATAGTATGGGTCACCAGTCAACACAGGAGACACACCCGGCTTTAACCATCCACCCGTCAGGAGAGGAGTCGAAAGCACTCCCCTAAGGGCCATATTACATATGAGGAGACAGAGGCCCAGAGTCAAGTTCATTCTCAAGCCTGCCCTTCCCGCCCTGTCTCTCCGCATCTATTGGCCCCACCTATTAGCTATGAAAGCCCTGGGCTCCACTTGATCAGCTCCAACAGGGATTCTCACCCTTTCATGACTAATGCCCACCAGTCAGAGAACATGGTTCCAATCCATGACAGAAACAACCCCTCCTTTCCAGAAGGACCTCGGGGGACATTCACAAGCGTTTTGGCAGCCAGTGCCTTGCTTGGCTGTCCTACCACCCCATGGACAACTAAAATACTGCTGGGCCTTGAGGCAGAGACACAGGTATCCTGGCCCTGAGAGCCCTTCCCCTAAGGACAGCAGCTCCCCACACCCCAAGGAGAGCCATCTGAAAAAGATCTGGAAAGGGGCTGTCCAGGGTCAAAGGAAACACAGCTCCACAATGCCTTACAGTGGGCCTGGGACTTGGGAGGCAGAAGGCTTGTACAACCCTTAGGGCTGATCACTGCAGAGCCTGTGTATGCGTACGTGAACGCGCACGCACCTACACACACACACGCACGCACGCACGCACGCACACACACACACACACACACACACACACACCCTCCCTAGGCCAGAGGGACCAAGGACTTGTGGAAAACCTAAAAGGTGAGCAACGGAACAAGAGCTGGCTGGACTTACTGAGCCTTGACCCCAGTCCAGGCCTGTGTGCCCTCACTGGGCTGCCTATTCTGCCCCTTTTCAGTCAGAGGCAGACCCCAAGCAGGGAAGACATCTTTTCTAAGACCCAAGATTGGCAGGACTTGAATGCTGAGCCAGGCCAGATCAGGGCCCTGGGGTATTTTCCTCCCCAGATGGTCCAGGAGTGTGTTCAGAGGCAGCTGAAGCCACAGGAAACAATCACTGTATTCACAGCCCTGTTGGAGCCAGGCTGAGGGCCACGGGGGTGGCCAAGAGGAGGCTCTGTCCTGGGTAAGGGAGTGGAACCTTCAAGAAAAGAAACCTCGGGGTCCAGGCTCTGCTAGGGGCATCAAGGTCTGACCAGACCAGAGCCTCACAGCTGGGTAGCGGGGGCTTTGCTGGCAGACAGTGAACACAGATGGCAGAAAGGCACAGACGGGGCCCCAGGGAGCTGCCATAGCTGGCTAGTTCCAGTTGCCGGCTCGGTCCCTTCACAAGGCCTGATGGGCCCATGACACACACAGAACTGTGGTGTACAGAAACACTGAGGCTGTGACGGGAAGTGGAGGGCAATCTTCTTTTCTAAACCTGGCTCTCTCTGGAAAAGCCAGAAGCTCTGGGTTTTCCTCCTCTTTACTTCTTCTGGGCTGAGGGTGGCCCTGAGTTCCTGCGCCAATGCCCTGTGAGGGCATTTGGGAGTCCATTTCCTCATGACCCTCTCATGCACACAAAAGAAAGACCCCAGGGATCCTGGGCTTATTGGGGGACAAACCAGGACGAGGATTCTTCTTTTCTGCCTCTCATATCCGCGTCTAGCGTACGTTATGGCACATAGCTTAATAAACGTCTAAATGGCTAAATTAATTCCACCACTCTAAAGAAACTATTGCCCCCCGTGATGGGTTCTTTGACGAAAAATTATACAATGTGTTGTCGAGATCTCATCCTTTCCCTGCCTGTCCCATCCCCTACATATACCCTTTGCTATGGTCTGAATGTTTGTGTCCCCTCAAATTCTTTGTTGAAATCCTAACCCCCAAATATGATGATATTAGGACATAGGGCCTTTGGGAGGTGCTTAGGTCATGAGAGACCTCATGAATGGGATCAGTGTTCTTATAAAAAAAGAACCCCCCTTCCAGCATGTGAGGACACAGAGAGACGCCGACAGCTATGAACTAGGAAGAAGGCCCTGACCAGAACGTGACCAGGCTGGCACCCTGATCTTGGACTTCCAGCCTCCAGAACTGTGAGAAATAAATTTCTGTTGTTTATAAGCTACCCAGTCTGTGGTATTTTGTTATAGCAGCCTGAATGGACTAAGACGCTCTTTTTTTTTTTTTTTTTTTTTTTTTTTGTGGTACGCGGGCCTCTCACTGTTGTGGCCTCTCCTGTTGCGGACCACAGGCTCCGGACGCGCAGGCTCAGCGGCCATGGCTCACGGGCCCAGCCGCTCTGCAGCATGTGGGATCTTCCCGGACCGGGGCACGAACCCATGTCCCCTGCATCGGCAGGTGGACTCTCAACCACTGCGCCACCAGGGAAGCCCTAAGACGCTCTTTTAAAGAGGAAAAAAAAGCCTTGGCTGCCTAGAAGAGCTCGGCCTCTTCCAGAACACCTCATGTCCAGTGATGTTTCTGCCGCCCCCTCCCATGGCCACAACCATCTGGACCTCCTCTGCCTCTAAAATCATAAATGCCAACATTTCAGACTAAGACTTGTGATCTGTTCAGCTCTTTTCTTATTCTTCTTAATCCAGCTCCCCTGCCTCAATGACCTCTCCAGTCCCTGGGCTTCTTTCTCCCTTTCCTAGTTTGGCCAACCTCCCTACAACCACTCTCCTCCCCAGCACTCTCAAGACCCTCACCTGGTCCTTCTCTGCAAACCCCCACATGCCTGGCCCTGGGTCAGTCCATTCAGTTGCCTTCTCCAGGTGACACCCTCACTGGCCCCCTCACTGGATGGCTCAGCACTCCTCATACTATCCCTAGTCATGCCCTTGCCCCTTCCTCACTGTGGCTCTTCCTAAAGTTCATCACTCTCTTAAAATTCAGCATCCCACAGAGGTGGCCTTGCCTCCCCCTCCAGAGGAAATGTGGCCATCAGCTAGAAATCTTACTTTCTTACTTCCTTCCTCCACATAAATAGATTTGTACCTCTACAATCTTGGCCGTTGCAAAAGCAGCAGCGTCTGTCTTTTTCCCTCCAGCCAAGTCCTCCATTGGGTTCTCAACCCTGCCATCTTGTGTGCTCGCAAGCCCTGCTCCCTCAGTCATCCTCTCTGCCCGGGTCTGCTAACCTTTCCTCTCCATTTGATCTTTTTCTCACCACACACAGACGCACACATACACATACACACACACTCTATGCACAAATACGACTGGCTGGCATATACTAGGCTCGTAAATCACATTGGATCAATTAGTGGATGTGCCTCCCCCCCTTCTTCACCTCACCTGCTGGGCCCTACCTGAGCTTATCTGCTACAAAAATGACGCGGCGCTCCAGCAGCAGTGAGGCAAAGATTCGGATAAGCTGGCGCACACTGAGGCAGGTAAAAAGGCACTCGAAGTCCACATGCTCCAGCCGGGAATCCATGGGCCGCCGCAGCTCTAACACCTGCAGGAGAACAGTGGGGCAAGTGGGGCAAGCCAGATCAGGTGGGTGCCACTCCTGGGTCGTACACAAAGCGACCGGAAGCTGGCTCCCCTTCCCACCTGCTTTCCCAAGGCCTCTAACCCACCCCACTGTGTAGTAAGACCCAGTCTCCTCCTCCACTCAGACCACAGCTCTGCCCCCACAGTACTCAGACGCCCAGCCTGTGGGCAACAGGGCTAACTGAACATGGGGGAGGCTCTGGAAGGAAGAAGCTGGAGAGCCATGTGCCAGGCTCTCAGGAAAGCGGGGAGGAGAGCTGGCTGCTCTTACAGATGAGGGAGGCAGGGAGCCACACAGCTTCATCTGCACTGCCCTCCCTGCCCTCCTGCCCGTCTCCCCAAGGAAAGGACTTGGCTCCGCGCTGCCCAGCCCCACAGCTGATCGCTGCCCCTCCGCGTGGCTCTGCTCACCCATCTCTGGACAGACAGTGCCAGTGTCCTTGTTGCCATGCCCCCTCCCTTTCCTGCTAGGAAGAGTTTCCTTCCAGAGGCTCTGTCCTGGCCTCTATCTCTATTGGCTTGTCTAATCCCTGTGTCAGGGACAAGGGAAACACAAGCTGGCCATTCCACAACCTTGCCAGGAAGCAGGACTCTCTTTATCAGGGCCAGACCTAGCAATCTTCCCTCCGGAGAGGTTGCAAGGCCACTCTGAAGGTTGCTGCTGTGGCGCAGGGACCACTTCCCTGGGGGCAGTCATGAGGGTGGAGGGTGGCAACTGACCCTGGCAATGAGAGCAACAGGAAGTGCTGACGCTCAGGCCAGGCCAAAGCAGCTCTCACCCGGGCCTGCCTAGGCTTCCCCTTGCTTCCTCAGCGTATGTGGGCAGCACAGATGTGTAGGTCTCCTGAGAGCCAGGAGGGAAGACGCACGCCCTCTTTTAGCCCTATGGTATCAGAACCCTCCTCAAGAGGCTTCACCCTGCCTTATCTCATTTGTTCCTCAGAGTCTAAACAAGTGAAGCTCTAACTCCTAGTTCAGTAGTCATCCCTCTGGGCCCAAGGGAAGCAGCAACATGGGCACAAGTTGCCCTAAGGATGTGTCTCTTTTATAGGGTTCTGTTTACACTCTGTCTCTCCCACCAGAAGGCGAAGCCCCAGAAGGCCCAGTGATTAGCAGGATGTGGGGTACACCCAAAGTGCTCAGTGAACGTGCGCTGAAGGGATCCCTTACCACAATCACGCCAGAGGCCTCTGCACCCCTCCTGCCCTTGCCCCACCTGGAAGAAGTCACACTGAAGCTCCCCCAGGCCTCCCTCCTGAGAGCCTGCATGCGGTCAGCGCCCCACTCCTACTACCCCGAGGGTCTGGACTCCTCCAGGGAGTGAGAGTTCACACAGGAAGCTCACAGGACCTGGGCCTCTCTTCATTCACCTGCCCTCAAGGAGATCACAGTCCAGTGAGGCTGAATGAGCCTAAACCATCACAGCCCACCAGCTCCGTGTCAGGATAGGGGAAAGGCGTCATTAACATCTGCACAGGGCGCTGAGAGGGCTGAGAGGTCAGGGCAGCAGCTCAGAGCACAAGATGCTTAACTTGGTTGTCCAAGGAGAGAAGAAGGGAAGTGTCTACTAGGCAAAAGGAAGCAGGGTTCAGGGACAGTAAGCGAGTCAAGTCAGAGCGTTGAGACGAGGCTGGTGCGCGGGCTGGGCCCCATCCTGAAGGACTGACTCCCAGGCATGCTACTGGGCTCTCAGGGTAGGGTCGGTGGTCCTGCCCCCAGGTCATGCATGAAGCAGGAAGTCCCTCCAAAAGAGCGTGGGAGAAAAGATGCTACAAGAAAGGCCTTAAATGGCATTCGCCACTCCCAGCAAACCCAATGTTTCTTTAGTCAGACCCTCTCCACTCCCTGCAGCAACTAAGTTATTTCTTCTTCCCTCTCCTCAAACCCAACATCCACCTCTCACTCTCGGAGGATGACCTTCTTTTCCATTGTGAGAAAACTGAAGCCATCAGATGAGAATCCAGAATCTACAAGCCATGGCCCTTCCTTGCTGTTACACAAGGAAGTGCCCTTCTCTCCTGAAAAGCCAGTCTCTCCCTGGATCCCACCGCCCTGCCTTCTCACTGACAGTCTGACTGTCCCTTCCCTCTGCTGCTGCTTTAACCTCTTCCTCCGATGGGCCACTCCCACCAGCACCCAGACAACCACCTTCAACAGACTCTCCCCTGGCTCCACGTTACCCTTCAACCACTGCCCCTTCCCCATTTCTCCCCACAGCCAAACCTCTTAAAAGCTGTCTCTACAGGCTAGTCCCCCTTCTCAACCCCATTCACTTCTCAACTCTCTCTACTCAAGCTTCTCGGCCCCCTGACCGCCCCCGTTTCTGAAACTCAAGGCGTCCCGCCACACCTCATCCTGACCTCGCCTGAGCCCTCCTTCCTTTCGTGAGAGGGCCCCTTCCTTGGCTTCCTGGGACTCCTCCTGTCTTAGTTTTCAGGTCTGCTGCTCCTCTGCTGCAGGCCCTCTAAATGCTGGAGGCCCTCGGGACTATCTTCTCTTCCCTGTCTACACTGTTTGCTACTAAACATCTTCTCTGGGGTGTCTCGCAGGCATCGTGAATGTAACGTGCACGGAGTCAAGCTCTTCCTCCTCACAAACCTCCCTCAGGTGCTCCATCCGCTGACCTGTTGCTCAAGCCAGAAAACTGGGAATTCGCCTTCAAATCTCCCCAACACTATTCCCTATTTCCAATCAAACACAATGTGCTATTGACCCTAATTCTAAGGCACATCTCCAGTCCATCTATTCTCTTCACCTTTTCGTCCACACCTTAATCCAAACTCCGATCATCTCTTGCCTGTACTACTGCAACATATCCAAGCTGGTCTCCCTGTTTTCACTCCAGTCCATAATCTACACAGCAGCCAGAGTGAGCTTTTAAAACCATATCTCGGATCTCATAACCCTGCTTTAGAGACATTCCAAACCCTGAACTGGGCCTACAGGTACCTTGTGATTTGGCCCTGCTGTCTATCCACCCTGCTCACTCCCTTTTTCAACCATCCTGGCCTTTTTACCCCGTTCCTTGGCAAGCGTCCACACTTTCCCAACTTTTGCTTTTACATGCTGTCCCTCTACCTGGAATAATCCTCTCCCGCCCACACCCTTCTCTTTTAGTCTCCCTCCTCCCACTTCATCTGGTTGACTCTACTCACCTTGGGTCCCCAGTAAAATGTCATTTCCTCAGAGGAGGGCTTTCCTGGCCCCTAATCTAAAGCACATCCCGTTACACACTCTCACTCTGTGCTTTCACTTGGCACCTAACACTTTTAGGGGTTATCTGTTTCTATGTACAAGTATTTATTTAGTGTCCGTCTCTCCCACTAGACTATGAACTCCACAAGGACCGAGCTGTGCCCCTCTTTAACTATATGACTCTGCCTCAAGGTCTGCAGGAACCCTGACTGTGAGAGAGCACATATTCTGTCAACATTTGATGAATGAATAAAAGGTGGCCTGCAGTTTAGTCCAAACAGGTCAGGGAAGGCCCCTAGAAGCTGCAGAGAGTTGAGCAACGATTACAGTTCTGTCATTCACTCTTTTTAGTCCCTGTTGGTGAGGTGTGCAAATGTGCTGAGCAAGGAAGGGGCCGTGCTCGGCACCCCCAGAGACTGAGCCTTGGCCCAGCAGGTCCCCCGCCAGCCCCAGTCCATGGTCTGAGAGAAGAGGCAGCAGAAATCCCTACCTCATTGCCAGCCCCCGGCAGGAATGTCTTCACTTTGATGGTCTTCCCTGGGGCAGGGAAGGGTGATTCCATGAGACTTCTCATGAAGGGATAGACCAAAGCGGCGGAGATCCCACGCCGGCGCTCCACCTCATCTAGGACCTGTGCCCACCGCCAGCAGCCCAAAGAGGAAGGGTGTCAGGGCGCCACCCTCCCCTACCTCCTGGGCAGAGAAGAGGGCAGCCCGGCATCTGACCAGCCCGGGCCGAAAGCTGGGAGATGATGGACTATCTCGCCAGGAGCTTCATACCCTACCCTTCCCGTCTCCCTGGCCACTCGGTGTCGGCTCTACTCCCTAACTTGTCCTTGCCTCAGACTCCAAGATCTGAGTAGCTGGGCAAAGGAAATACCACTTGAGGTCGGGTTCCTGGGCACTTGGCTTCCCGCAGGGTCTCTGTCCCCAAGGACTCAGCTCCGCCCACGGCCCAGGGTGAGCTGTGACATTAGCAGACACTGCCGGTGCAGGAGCTGGTATATGGGGAGGGAGTCGGACAGCTCGCTTGCACTTGCCCTTGCATTCTCGCCTTCTCTCACCCTCTCACACACAGACAGGTGGTTTTCTCATCTAAGCCACATGCAGATACTCCTATGGGAGCTGTCAGCTGGGGGAAGGGGGAGGGAAGTAAGCCAGAGCCCTCTTACCTTGGAAAACAAGCCGAAGCAGCCAAGGCGGCTGATGACACAGTACACCTCTGGCAACCGAGGCCCCTTCCCACTTGGCTGGGCCAGGACAAGGAGGAGAGAGACACAGACACAGAGGACGCATGGTTACTATATCTGACTCCTTTTCCTTGGGAACTGAGGACGAAGCACCAGTCTTCTAGTGAAGACTCTGGGCCTCTTCTAAACCTCTACTCAACCAGGCCCCCAAGGAAAGGGCTGTCACTCTTTGGGGGCAGGCTTCAGCCTCTGCTGGGCCTTCCAGCCCAAGGTACCAGACTCCTGCCAAGCTCTACACAGGCTCCGCCCTTCCCCCCCAGGAAGACACTGATGGGGGCTGGCAAAGGACAAAGCGGTTGGGCAGAGGCTATAGGGTGATTGTGGATTTATATCCCTAAATCCCCAGGCCCCCAGTGGTAAGGGAGGGACTTGTGTACATCCTTAGGAGCAAGCCAGGCGGTCTTCTGCCTCCCAGAGGGGACATTCTGCAAAACATTCCTGTTCTCAGTTGCTCTTTTCTCCCTTCCTTGATCCATCCCCATTCTAGGAAAGCAAACTGACACCAGATAAGAGAAGCAAACTACTATTTATTGAATATTTACCGTATCCGAGTCCTGGGCTTGGAACTTTCCAAAAACTTGTTAGATAGGCATTATTATCCCCCTTTTATTGATGAGGAAACTGAGCTCAAAATTATTAAGCCATTGTCCAAGGTCATGTATAGAAGTCATGGAACCAGGAGTCTGTTTCTGCCTCTGATTTGCTGTATTACCTCTAAAGTATGCTGCCTTCTGACAGAAAGGAAGGGAAAGAAACACAAAGAGACTGGGCAGAGGCATGTACAGAGTAGAGGAGAACAAAGTAAAAGGGGGATTTAAAAGGTAGGCAGCTGAAGGAGATGTGCACTGAGAGCTCCCCAGGCCTGGAGCCCCCAAATGCAGGCTGGAGTGAGTCCACAGGAGTTGACTTCTCCAGCCAGGGGCTGGCAGGGCTCTGTGGCTGCCTCTGGCTCAGAGGCCTGGAGTGCCCAGCAAGGCCGAGCGGGGAGGGAGCAGAGCAGCAGGTGCTGGCCCCTCATGCAGGCTGCTAAGCAAATGCAGATGGGCTATTTCAGTCTCCAAACCTGCTGGCCACACGTCACAGATCTAAAGAGAAGGCAGAATCTGTTTTTGTCCATATTAGGCCTGAAACTCACTCCTCTCTTCTTCTCTCTCCCCCGCCTCCCCTAAAGCCCCAAGTGATTAAAACAAGTATGTGGGATTTGGGTTAGAATCATTGTGTCCAATCTGCAGGAATGCCGAGCTAGTGCCAGCCCCCTTGGCAGGGACCCAGCCCAGGCCCTCTCTGAGCACGCCAGGACAAACATGCTCTTCCCTGGGGGCAGCAGGCCCACTGCAAAGGAGCAGCTCTGCTCCATCTCTGCTCCTGCAAAGGCAGCCTTTGGAATGCCACCCCCCCCCCCAGGCCCAGGTAAAGCTGCCTGGCTCCCCACCTGGCATCTGTACTGCTCTACCTTCCCTTAGCCCCACTCACCAGGCATTCTATCTCCAAGTACTCCTTCTCCCCAGACTACCCTTTGGGGTGATCCAGGATACCAGACTTGGTGTTAAAGGACTTGGAGTCAACCTGGCTCTGGCCCTGATTGGCTGTATGACCCTAGGCAAGTCATTCTACCTCTGAGTCTCGGTTTCTTAATCTAAAGAACATATATAATAATACTGGGTTGGCCAAAAAGTTGGTTTGGGTTTTTCCATACGATGCTATGGAAAAACCCAAACCAACTTTTTGGCCAACCCAATGCCTCATGGGCTATTATGAGTAATAAAGAAAATGACATACTTAAAGCATCTAGCCTGGAACATAAACAGATCCCAAATCACAGTTCATTCCCTTTGCCCTGCCTTCTACATTGAAAGTCCTACCTCCTCTACTGGACTATCTAACGTTCCTTGAAGATAGGTGCCATGTCTAGCTCACCTTTATGTGCCTTTAGCGTATGCTGCCTAACCCTCAGCAGGTGTATGCTACATGTTTCTGAATGAATGAATGAACAGCCCAGAACCCTTCACCTGGAGTCCCTGCTATGCATCACCTTTGCCGAAGATCCCCCTCATCTGCCCCTTCTCCCACTAAGGCCTGGGAACCCTGAAACTCTGTCAACAATACCCCTGGTGAGCCCCAGGGGAGTGTGTGACAGGACTCTCTTTACCTTTACCTCAATCTATTTCCCAGGACTAATGAGAAGAGGGATGGTGTAGTGCTTCTCTCTCTACAACATGGCTTATATTTTCAAAACCCTCGCTTTCCCTTGAGTTCAAGGCATCTCTCCCAGAATCCCACAGAAGGTACTGCTCTGTCCCTGCTCAGCCTCCAGCCCCACCAGACCATGGACAGGATGCACATGAGGTTGTCCAGGTATGGGGGTGAGGAAGGTTGTCCTCCACCCCAATCTGATGCACACACACATACTGCTGGGTTGATGTGATCCTGCAATCAGGATCAGCAATCTGAGCCTGTAAGCCCAAAGTAAATGAACAAAAAGAAAAAGTATAGAAGAGCTAAAAACATATGACAGCCCAGTAGAAAGTGATCCAATCTCTTCCCTTATTGTAGATTATCTTAGATCCTGGGGCCCAATCAGAGGAGAACTTTAAGTCCTGCCATCCCAGGGAGTGCTTCGTGGAGTGTGTGTGCGTCTGTGTGTGTGTGTGTGCGTCTGTGTGTGTGTGTGTGTGTGTGTGTGTGTGTGTGTGTGTGTCCGTCCTCATACAAGGCAGCATACAAGGAAGCAGAACATAGAACAACTTGAGTTTCTACCAGCTCAAGTTAAAGAAGAGCGTACACACATACAAACACTGTGGCCCAGTCCCTGAGGACCGAATGGCCCTACTTACTAGTAAGCGCCTGCAGTAGCCAAAGCGTCTGCTGCCATCCTCCCCAGTCAGCATGAAAGAGAACGTCTCACTGGAACAGGGAGAAGTCTGGCATCAGGGAAATATCAGAGGACCCAGGAAACAGCCCCCAAGAAGAGGGACCGCCCAGGAAGGGGGTGAAAGACCAGGCTGCGGTAGGAGAGGAGGCTGGGACTAGGGTGGGCCAGAGTCAGCTGCCCACTGTTATGGGGGTAAAGGAGGCTATGCTAGACCAGGCCTCACCTGCTGTACTCTGACACAGGAAGCCAGTCCTTGGCATCAGGGAAGCAAAACTGGGGAATGGCCTTGAGCCTCTCTTCTGCCTCCCGCATCTGCTTGGTGGGTCGGTCCAGCTGCAAGGAAGAGGAATATGGGGAGAGAGAGATAAGAGAAGACGTGGAACTCGGGACTGGTGGGGGGTAGCTGACAAATATCTCCTCCCCCGAGAGTCCTAGGTGGCACTTGCCCAACTGGCATGCTTCTCAGCAACCCTACCCTGACCCCACTCCCATTTCTCACAGAGAGGTCCGGGTGTGGGCTGAGTCATCATTTATTCATTCAGTATATGCCAAACTAGCACTTTCTATGTGGCACCTGGCATGTGCTGGGCTACCAATAGAAAACCAAGCGGACAAGGTCCCTGTCCCTGTGCATTCTGGTCAGCAGAGTGAGACAATCGACAACAAAATTTCAGAGGGTGCCACAAAGGAAATACACAGGGCGATATGACAGAGATAAGTGGGTGGGTGGGGCTACTTTAGAGTGTCTAGAAAGATCTCCTATTTGATCGGAGAATGAAGAATGAGAAAGAGCCAGCAGCCAAGTGAAGAGCTGGGGAAAGAAGATTCCCGGCAGAGGCAATGGCAGAGAGGAAGGGCCCGAGTGTTACAGGAAGAGAAAGGAGGCCAGGCGGGCTGGCTGGGGGCAAGCAGGGAAGGAGTGGTAAGAGCTCAGGTACGTGGGGGAAATGGGGAGTGAGTGCTAATGGGTACAGGGTTTCTTTTGAGGGTGATGAAAATGTTCTAAAATTGATCACATAACTGTGACTATACTAAAAGTTATTGAATTGTACGCTTTAAACAGGTGAATTATATAGTATGTGAACTGTATCTCAATAAAGTGGTTAAAAAAGAGAAAAGAAAAGTAATAAGGTAGGAGAAGTAGCTGGGGGCCCTTCCTCAGGACCCTTGAAGTCCTGGAAACAACGTGGATCTCATTCTAGGCACGCTGGGGGGTGTTCTCTCCGCCCTCATCCTCCGAATACTCACTGGCCCAAACCCACCCCCTCTCCTCCCTCCCGGCTACAGGCAGACACGCTCAGGGCTAGTGCAGTGAGGTGAGTTGCTAAGGCAGGAACAGGATCTCTCTTCTTCCCCAGATGGGCCAGGCAGAAAGGAGGAGGCAGAGGAAGGGGCAGGGAAGGAGGGAGGCGGCCTCACCTTGGGAAACTGGTAGGAGACCTCAGGGAGGTACGTGTTTCGGGATGGCTTCCTCTTGAGCGACACCACCACGAAGCACTCGAACAGCTCCCGTTCCTGCCACTCGAGCAGCTCCAGCTCCAGGGTCCGGTAGCTGGGTGCGCGCTTCAGCATGGACTGGATGTGGACCAGGCGCTGCGTGTGGGCTGGGGGCAGGTCACACGTCAGGGACGAGACCCCCACGTTAGCCCCCTCCACCCCACGCTCAGGGCTCCATCCCCAGGGGGCACCTCTAAGTGCAGGAGCCTAGTCTGACGGCCTGACACAACGAGGTCTGGGGGAGAAGTGGCAGGCGCAAGGTGTGTAGCCTGTCTGCCCTGACATAGTCAGGGCCTCCTGGAGGCTGAGCTGGGGCCAACAGACTGCCTGAGCCAGGCACATCCAGGGATGCATCAATGGCACCCAGCCACCCCTGCCCCTGTGCCAACAGGACTAGAAGATATGAACATCCACGAAGCCTTCACCCTAGGGCCCCTATCAGTCCTTGGACTTGGACCCTTTTTCCCTGTCCCCAGGCCCAAAGTCCACTTGCCCACTTGCCTGGGGGACCAGCAGAGGAGGGAAGGAGGGAGCTAGTTCCCACATACTTTAATCATCCAGGAAGGTCTAGGCAGGGCTTCCCACTAGAGAAGGAACAGAGGTTTGCCCAAGGCCCCCTGGAACATGAAGGTCCCAGAACCTTTCCAGGGAGGTGGTAGCTCTCCTCTCTAGGGAGAGGGAAGATGAGTGGCCTCAGGGCCTCCAGAGTACCAGTTTCCTCAGACTTTGGCACACTTCTTACAACCAGAAGAGGTACTTGTAACCTATTGAACCCATCTCTGACTCTCCAGATTCACAAAACTTACCAGGCAAACCTAGCACCCAATTTTCATGGACAACGGCTTGGGAAAGTAAGGCAGGGTCACCAGCCTTAAATTTGGGAAAAGGAGATGGTTGCATTTAATCTCTCAGGGTCGAGCTCCATGACTGTAGGAATGGACTCCCCTAGAGCTCCTTGCTCTGTTGGCCTCGTATCCTGCCTGCCATCGCCTCTCCAAACGGGGCCACTCTGGGATATTGGAACTGCATGTGCAGAGAAGGGAAGGCTGATTCCCCACAGCCAGGGCAGGAAAGGGGTCCATGCTCTTGGGGAGCCATGCCTCACCTTTGAACCTGTCGTCGGAGTCGCTCTCGCTCTCACTATTCTCATCTAGAAAAGTTAAGAGCAGAGTGCATGCTTGCTGAGCCATTGCCCCACAGCAAATGTTTTCTGTGCCCCCCACCCAGCTCTTCTCATGAGGGATGTACCTCGTCTGGGCTCCAGTGGGCCCCTGGCCAGGTGCTGCGTGGCCCGGGGCCAGGGTCCCTCAGAACTCAAACTGCAGGTGCTAATCTATATCCAAACCCCTATCCACCCAGTCCTGGTTTGGGGCAAGCTGAGGGCCGAAGTTGGAGGCTGAGCCAGCAGAGAGGCCTATCAGCCTGGAACACAAGGGTCTTGCCTCCAGGAGGCCAAGATTTGAAATGGGAAACAGACCACAGTGCCCAGTAAGTCTGGCCTTTCCTTTTGCCAGATGCAGATTCCCACACCCACTTTCCTATTCAGGGCCTCACAGCCCAAAGTCTGCACTAACCCTTCCCAAGGCTTTCTTCCCTCTTTGGCCCTCCCCTCCTATGTGGCCACTTTTTCGCAGGGCTCTACCCTCCTAGAAGACAGGAGGATCCCACGATTGCCCCATGGAAGGGTAAACTGAGGCTAGTCCATGCCTCTCCCCACTTCTAATGCCCAAGAGCCCCAGAAACCTGAGCCAGCTCAGGCATCCAGGCCTACCTCTCAGTGATGATGTCTCAATGCTGGACATGGACAGCTTTTTTAACCTCTTCTTTCCCCGCTTGGCATTGTAGATGGAGTTAATTCTTTGGACAAGCTGGGTGAGAAAAGCAGGGAGGGTGAGGCAACCCTAACACCAACTGCCCCAGCTCCTCAGAAGGCTGATTTACAGAGGCCGTCCATTCCCCTACTGGTACAAGCCTTCTGCCCTCTCCGCAATGGGCCCAGTACTGGTCTCCCTCCTGCACTGGCCCCAAGGGCAGACTGGTGGCTCCCCATCTACTTGTCCCCTTAGTGGTCTCCTGCCCCCAAGACAAGGACTTTACACTTAGCTCCCCAGAGGAAGGAACTGTGATCAAACTAGACAGGATGGGAGCTCCTGGGTCTCAAGAGTCCCTGAACCAAGTGAGACAAAGAGCTGCTCAGAGGCAATAACAGGAACAAGGATTGAGCCTTTCTCCTCTGGGCTACAACCTGGGGCCCTGGCAGGAAGGAGCTAAATTCCCAATATACCCAAGCATTGTTTGCAGGCTAAAAATACCACTTGGCTAAATCCTGCTGCTTTGGGCTGGGGATTTGGGCCTGGCTATCTCTGTGTGCAAATCATTGCTGAAAACTCTCAATTCTGAGAGTTATAGAAAGGAAGACCCATGTTTGGGTCCTATGTCCTTCAAAGCCTGGAGATATCTCTGCATACACAGAGACTTCGTGCACCCCACACTCACTAATGGGGAGCTTCTTAAGGACTGTTTCCATCCACCCAGTGGCGTAGAGTACTCCCTGGGGGCCAGGCTAGCCTGTTTTCCCCTAACATCTGCACAGCATTAATCACTTAGGGCATCTTTATTGATAAGAAAAGGAAATTAGTCAGATGAAAAAGAAAGGCCAGTGCCTGGACCTGAAATTGATTTCACGAGAATTGAGGAAGCAGGCCCAGATTAGGGAGGGAGGGAGGGAAGGAGGGAAGGAAGGAAGGAAGGAAGGAAGGAAGGGAGGAAGGGAGGGAGGAAGGGAGGAAGGGAGGAAGGGAGGAAGGGAGGAAGGAAGGGAGGGAGGGAGGGGGGAGGGGGGAGGAGAGAAGAGCCACCGCCTGCCTGCCCACCTGCCCAGCCCCAGCCAGCTCCAGCTGGGGAGGCTACCTTGGGAATGCGGCGGGCCCGGCGGCTGGACAGCAGTTCACTCGTGGTGCTGAGGCTGTCCTCATTGAGGCTGGAGGGTGAAGATGGCAGGCTCAACTGAGCCAGCAGCAGCATGTCGTCATGGCTGTGCCTCTTGGGTAATCGTGGCAGCCGGTGGCTCTTCCTTTCTGACCAGTTCCCACTGCGTAGGGACTGGCTGCCGGGTTTCAGGGAGAGCTGGCATGGGAGAGAGGACATGGGAGAAGGACTCAGCACAGATGCCTTGGCTGGCACCTGTCTGCTGGGACCTGGACAGAGAAGCCACAGGCTGGCATCCCAGACTCCTCCAAATCCCACCTGGAATTTCCATCTACCAGGGTTTCCTCTTTTAAGAGCTCAGCTGCTGATCAGCAGCTCAGGGCTAGATTCGATACTTGCTTCCACAAAGGAAGCTTAACTACTTCTTCCAGAAAAAAGAAAGCAGAGACTAAGAAAACTGGGCTGTCTATCTGAGTGGAAAAAGAAGATCAAGTGAGAAATCTGCGGGCCCCTCCTGAGCTCTGGGACACGGCTTAGACTCCGCTCATTACTGGGTGTGGTCGACGGATCCAGTCTCCCCCACTCAGCCCCTGAGTTAGTCCTAAAAGGCTTCTCTAGCAGAGGCCAGAATACATGTCAACCCAGCCCTGCTCACTTCTTCCAGGGAGAATACAGGGCTCTGACCACCAAAGCCTGGCAAGGCAGGCCTCGGAGCCAGTGGCTCCCTCACCTACATGGTCCTGGACTGCTTCCATCCCTGCCTGGATCTACTTTCTGCCTCCCTCTGTCTAGACTGACACCCTTCAGCACAGGGCACCTTACTCTTGGCGGATCCGGCTCACCACCAAAAAGCCAGCACCCCCGCAAACTTGGCATGCCTTCCACCTGCCGTCTGGATGTGGCATTGCCTCTCATCACTCTTCAGCAAGTCCTCCTTCCCTCCCATCCCCCAATTTCCCCTTCCCACCCAATCAGTCTGGAAATACAAATTCAATGGAAGCTTATTTGAACAGAGCACATTAGAGAGGTAAGTCTTTTATAAAAAGTCACATCATTCCAAAGCCAGAAGAAATAATTTTTATATTCTCTAGCCAGTGTTATAAAATATCTAGGAAAGGGGCTTCCCTAGTGGCGCAGTGGTTAAGAATCCGCCTGCCAATGCAGGGGACACGAGTTCGAGCCCTGGTCCGGGAAGATTCCACATGCCGTGGAGCAATTAAGCCCGTGCGCCACAACTACTGAGCCCATGTGCCACAATTACTGAAGCCCGTGCACCTAGAGCCCGTGCTCTGCAACAAGAAAAGCCACTGCGATGAGAAGCCTGTGCACTGCGACGGAGAGTAGCCCCCACTCGCCGCAACTAGAGAAAGCCTGTGCGTAGCAATGAAGACCTAACACAGCCAAAAATAAATAAATAGATAGATAGATGAATAAATAAATAAATAAAATTTATTAAAAAAAAAAAAGTCTAGGAGAGTTAGAGTTGCTTGGGTAGGTCCAAGATAGGATCTCTATTCTCCTGCCTCCTGTCCACCGTGGACAAGGCCAGAATGAGCTATAGTCTAAGAGCTTCCTTCAACTCTTCACCTTTCTTCTCATTCTGCCTCTATCAGTCCATTCCTCAGAGATTCATCCATTCAACCATTTATTCAGTGGGAGTGGTTCCAGGTCCTGGAGACACCTGTCTAGTTCTCCAAATCAGGTTCTTGGGCCTACGCCTGGCCCCTAAATGCCAGTGCTGAGATCAGTTCTGCCAGAGCTGCAGAATACCAAGACTCCAACCTGGGCCCTGTCTTCCTGTTTCCAGGAAGGGGAGGAGAAATAATGATTAGACAGGAGACGACAGGGGCTCCTGCCTTAGTTTTGCAGCTCAGAGCTCAAGCAGCGAGGGGAAGAAGGTGGGACAGGGTGCCCCTAAGAGCACATCTCGATTGGCCACAAGCATATCGACACGGCAGAAGTCCCTGAGTGCAGAGCTCTTCCCTGACGTCACCTTCACCTAGCACTAGTGAGGCAAAAAGCCTGAGTGGAAGCTGGCCCACGCCTCGTGCTGACCCTCCAGGCCCAAGTCAGGGCTGCTGTTACCTGAGCGGGTGGGTTGTTGTACTTCCTGTCCTGAGGACTCCACATCCTGTGCAAAGAGTCCAAGGAGTTCTCAGACAGTTGCTGGGATTTTCGTCCTGCTCTTCGGCTCTTTAAGTCCACATCCTCATACGGATTCTCCTTGGGCAGATCTCCTGCAGAGGAGGAAAAGTTAGAGAAGGGGGAGAAGGCAAGAAGGAAACACACACACACACACACACACACACACACACACACACACACACAAATAAACAAGCAGAATTCCTGTGAGCCAAAGAGAGTGGCTTCTGCCTGGCCCTTCAGCTCATGAGTCATGCAGCTGCCCGTCTGCAGTGGGGAGGCTACAAACAGATGCTGGCTCCAAGTCCAGAAGCTGAACCCCCCACCTCCAGTTCAGCTCAGCCTTGCCTGGCCTCTGCTTTGTAAATTCAGGGACTGCACAAGACTGGCTCAGCCACCCATGCCTGTGCCCAGCCAGAGGACAAAGCCAACACCAGGCGTCTCTCCTTGGCTCCAGTCCCTTTGCTGCAAAAGCCCCAGAGATATACAGTTCAAGGTAGAAAAGGCTTTCAGAGGTCACACGGCTGTCCCTTCACCCACTGCTCCCTGAGGACCACTTCTGGAGATGGGCATGGAAGGGCGCTGCGAACTCTAGGGTGCCGGGCTTCACCAGCCCTCCCTCCTGCCTGTACGCTGTGCCACAGCTCTCTCAGGACAGGGCTTTTGCCTGGTACACCGAAGTGGTGAGCGCTCAGTATTATTTGTTCAATGAACCGCTCTGACTACAGCGTCACTCCACTTCCTCCACCACAGACCTCAGCAAGAAGACAATGGTCAGCAATCCCCTTTTGGAATAAACTCTCCTGCTATGACACATGGGAGATGTGAAAGGCTTGAAAGGAGTTTGGGCTGGAGGGGTGGGGTTGGTGGGGAGTTCTTGTTTCTCTTCTCAGGACTCAATTCTAAAACCCCTGGCAGTAGGCACTGTATTGGCACTCAAAGTCCAAAGCATAGTCCCTGCCCTTGAAGAGAAACCCCTTCCCACAAGCCATGCCCTCCTGCCCCTTTCCTGCCAACACATACCTGGACTTTTCTAAAATATAATAATATCATGAGCAGGGTCAGTCCTAGAATCACAGTCGTGCAGCAGAATCACAGTGGTGACAAGGTCCACGGGGACTGTGAGGAAATACTGCCCTCTACTGCCCTTTGTCTTGTCTTTCCTTAGCCTCCCCTCGGTATCAAGGCCACTGTTTGGGACGCAGGTACCAGTGGCCAGAATGCGGCTTTGCTGGAGGTGGCACACAGGAAGCTGCTAGCAGGGCTCACTCCAGCTTCTCCAATCAGCAGCGGGATTGAGCTTGGGTGATCACTGAGCCCCAGGGATGCCTGCCCGTGCCTCCCACCATAGAGGAGTTCAGATGTCACTTCTCAGGGAGCAGACAGAAGAAAGAGCCATAGACTAGACACAAAGGCCACTGGGTGTGTAAGCTTTCCTAGGATAGGACACAGGAGAAAAACCAAATCCCTACGTGCTTCTTTCAGATTTTTCCATTTCCAAAACCAAGATCTCCCCCCGTTGTGGTATCTACTTATTACTATCATGGAAAACCACCATGAACTTAGAAAATGCCTTTACAGAGGTGTAGGAGGAGGGATGGGGGGGGCTGTGAAGGGGGGATTTCGGTCACAGCTAATTAGACTGCCATGGGAGCAATACAAATCTCTGTAAACTTATGAGTCAAAGATGGGTCAAGGAAGGATTTGGGACTGAATTAAGTGATTCCCAACATCAGCAGAGTCCCCAGCAATTGAACAGACGTTTTCCTGTAACACAGTCATGCTATGAAAATGACTTGTCTCCATTCCAGAGCCCTGACTAAGCAGAGCTGGCCCAGCAACCCTGCCTCCAGAAGCCAAATATGAAACCTGGCATCCCCTGCATGTTTTCTCCAGCCTACCCCACTGTGGGCACTTTGGGAGGAATCAGGATAGACTCTGTATGTCTTGGTCCCTCTCCAACATATATCCTACAGCAGTGAGGTTGGGGGACCAAGGACTGGAGAAAGTCAGGACACAGTCTTCCTGATCCTGTGAAGCAGGACAGAGCTGAAGGGGTCAGGAAGAACATTTATTCCAGGCTCATCAAATCTAAACTGCTTTGGGCTGGATGACCAGCCAGAGTCCTTATCATCATGCCCCAACCTACAGGATGACCCTGTCTCAACTCCTTTAGAAGAGTTGCTCCAAACTACTGACACTTGGTGCTGGATAATTCTTGTGGTGGTGGACTATCCTGTGCATCTGTAGGATGTTTAGTAACAGCCCTGGCCTCAATCCACCAGACAGATGACAGTAGCATCCCCTCAGTTGTTACAAACAAAAAAATGTCTCCAGACACTGTCAAATGTCCCCTGAGCAGATGGGTGGATAAATGGATGATGGGTGGATGGGTGGACAGATGGACGATGGAAGGAAGGAAGGAAGGAAGGAGGAAAGGAAAGGAAGAGAGGAAGAAAGGAAAGGTGGATGAGTGGATGGGTGGACGAAACTGTGCCCCCATTCCCACTCACCCCATTAAGAACCACTGCTTTAGACAGATGTTTCTAAACTTCCTAATAGCTTCTGAGTGCCATGACGTGAGTCCCAAGGCAAACCCTCTTTTCCTCCCTCCTTCACTCCTTCTCTTCTCTCCCTTCTTTCTTTCCCCACAATCAAAGCTGTGAATATTAATATAAAATCCAAAGCTCCGGACTTCCCTGGTGGAGCAGTGGTTAGGAGTCCATCTGCCAATGCAGGCGACCCGGGTTCGATCCCTGGTCCGGGAAGATCCCACACTCCACGGAGCAACTAAGCCCGTGCGCTACAACTACTGAGCCTGCACTCTAGAGCCCGCGAGCCACAACTACGGAGCCTGCGTGCCACAACTACTGAAGCCCGCACGCCTAGAACCTGTGCTCCGCAACCAGAGAAGCCACCACGATGAGAAGCCCGTGCACCGCAACAAAGAGTAGCCCCCGCTTGTCGCAACTAGAGAAAGCCCGTGCGCAGCAGCAAACACCCGACACAGCCAATAAATAAATAAGAATTTTTTTTTTAAAGTTAAAAAAAAAAAAATCCAAAGCTCCAAGAAATAGATGTAGGAGACTGAGGCCCAGGGAAGTAATAGATGCACATCAGTGATAACCTGGGAACTGAGAACAGTTGGGAACACCAGGGTCTCAAGCCCAGTATTGCCTCTGGAAACTAAATTTCAGGAAAGCCTTAAACGCCTGCTCCTCCCGACTGTTCAGCCCTAACGTCAGCCTCTTTCTTCTCCAGCAAGGTTAACATCCTCTCTGATATAACCAGGCCACTAATCATTTCTCCAGGAAATGACGGCTGGCCCTGGCCCAAGCCCTGCCTCCCAGCCTTAGCTTGGGCCCTTCACAGCCCCCGTTCACCTATTACTCTCAGCTTCCTGGACTGTTCTGACTACCCTTCTGGAGCTGCCTCACGGAGACACTCCCAGCCATCTGTCCAGGGAGTAAGGGTGCCCAGGGGATGGGGATGTGCAGAGACCAAGCAGTCCCCGAGGCCTAGAGCCACTAAACGGAATCTGCTGAGAGCAAATCAACCCCAAAGCAATGGCTCAGAGCTGGGAGAGGAGGAGGGCTGGAGAGCCGGGCTCGGAACCTTCTCTGGAGGAGCAGAGCCACAGCAAAGCGGAAGAAGCTGGAGCCGAGGGGAGAAACCTGGGGAAGCTTTGGCAGGGACATGGATGGGAGACCGGAAGCCTGGCAGACCTCAAGACTTTCACCTGCATTCTTGCCCACGCAGCTTCCTCGAGGGTGCTCCACGCTGCCCTTGGAGAGAGAGAAGAGGTAGGCCCTCCTCCCCCGAGGCCTGGCCTGAGCAGCTCCATCTCATCAAGCCCAGCTGTGGAAGCCAGAGGTCTCAACCTTTCCCAGCTTTGCTGATGAGACAAGGGACAGGGGCATCGCCAAGAATTTCTGCTTTGCACTCTTTTAAAGGCGCTGGTCAGAGCCCAGACTTATCACATAGATCCTCTTGAAGGAAGAACCCAGTCCCACCTAGCCCTGCCCCCACTCCTCCCCACATCTCCTTTGGTCACTAACCACAGGTGCCAAGCACCCCACCCCCCAACAAACGCACAACTGGAAGAACCAGTTAGAGAAGGGGTGTGTCTGTGCACAAGCGCTGAGAATTTCCCCCGAACGGAATCTTAAGCTTCCCAGACCACACCCATGGCTAGGGCCGTGGGTCTGCAGATTCCCTCCCCAGCCCCCTCCTGCTTCCAACCAGCTGTTTCTCCTGGTTCTCAGCCTCCTCCCCTCCCTCGCACAGTGGAGACAGGGCCAGATTAGGGGCCCAACTCCCGCGACAATACATAGCACATCAGATGGGGAGCTCTAAGGGGCCAGTTGTTACCACCCTCCGAGGCTGGACAACATTTACCAACTGCCCGGGCACCGTTCCCTGGACCGCACCTCTGGGCGGCAGCCTCTATGCTGTTAGATGTCTCTGTTTCCCAGCCTTGGGACAAATGAGAGAAGAAGGCAGAAAGAGCAGAGGCTCAAAAAGCTTTGCAGTAAGGCTGACTGGCTCTGTCCCCAGCTCCCACCCCGCTCAAGTTCCTGGAAACTCTCCCTCAGCCCCAGCTAGCTGAGGGGAGTGGGAATCTCTGCAGGAATGCAGCCCAGGCTCCTTGGTCAGGCGCCGAGGCCACTCCACATAACTCTCTAATAAGCTGCTTCCTTGGGTGCATTTTTAACTGTCAGGCTCAGAACGCAAACGATTATAAGGCTTTGTAGGATAGCAGCGTCTTCCAGAGGCAGACGTCAAATTGGACAGGCGAGAATTAACCAGCCCCACGAAGCAACATGGCAGTAACTTTATTTCTGAACCACTCTATTGCAAATTAGCAAGATAACCTCAGCCTGTTTTTGGAGTATTTCACCCCAGTTCCCAAGGTGTCATGCCTGGTATGGGCAGGAGGCTAGCACACTCCCCAGGGCCCCTCGTTCAGGTCCAGGGCTCACGGAGAAGACGTGTTAGTCTCTGGGCCAGCTGGCCCTCAGCCTCTTACAGACACGGAACTCCAGACCAATGGGCTGGTCCCCGAGACAAAGACTCAGCACGGGAGCTCTGGCCCGTGCCCACCTCCCGCCACAACCCGATTATCACACCCCCAGAACAAAGTTCCGTCTGGTCCTGGGCAAGGGAGGCAGCACAAGAAAGAGCTGGGTAGTCCAAACCGGAACACCTCAGCCTCGCAGAGCACAGGCTGGGCCAAGAAGACAGAGAAGGCTCCCAAGAAGTCAGGCACTGGTCAGTGGAAGGCAAAAGTGAAAGTGACATTCAGAGTTCAGCAACAAGGGCCCCCCACCAAAGCCTTTAAGGGTGTGGGTCCAAATTCTTGGGCCTGTCGCCAGGGAAGGAGAAAGGGTAAGTCAACCAGAATCTGAGAGAAAGAGAGATTCTCCCTTGTATTTCCCTCTGGCCTCCCTGGTCAGGTCGAGAAGTTCAGGTGGGGCTGCTATGGGGATACTGAAGGAGGAAAACGTGCCCAGGGCACTGAACAACCGGAGACGCTGAAACCCACCCTACCCTCACACCACAAGGGCGACGCAAAACACCCAGGTGCCCTCCCTCCTCCCTCCTCCCCATCCCTCTTCCCCCACTCTCTACACAACGCTCCAAAGACCCAGAAGCTAGTGGAACAGCTAAGGAACATGCCCCAGTCCCAACCTCACCTCATACCAGCCCTCGCCCCTAGCTTCTGGCTCGTCCAGCTAAGAAGCATGCAAGCTGCTCCTCTATCTTCTTGCCTCCTTGAGCAACATCTCGCAGTGGCCGCAAGCCCCCTCCACTGAGTGAGGCTCAGACACACTTGCCTCCCCGTTCCTCTGGACAGGGAGAAATGGTTGAAGCAGCCCTTTCTCTATTCCAGCTCAGCTGATGCAAGAACATTCCCCTGCATGAGATCCCCGGGCAGCACAGAAAGGCTGCAAAGCCTCCTCAGAGAAGAGAGGCCAGCGAGGCCCCAGCGTTGGCAGTGCCTGGATCCTGAGCAGGGGGGCAGCTGAAAACTGGAGTCTGCCCTGTCCCCTGCGGCAGCCACACTGGGTGCTCCCAAGGGCCCTGGGCAGCAACGACACATGACAATTCCTCTCAAACTAGAGGAAACAGACTTGTACCCTGCTCAGGGCCGGGAGGCAGATGGGGCTGTGCCCCTGATCCCCACAGCTCTGGACCTCAGCTCTGGGCGACCGTGTGTACAAAGCTTTTTCCCAGTAGTAAAGGAAGAGGCCTCCCTCCCCAAACCCGTTTGCTGTTCTGGAGAATCTCGTTCCCACAGTCCTTCTGATATGACCGAATTTCGGACGGCTACATGCTATACACTCCCATCCTGGGAAAGCAATGCCTGTGTGGACCTGAGCACTGCTGCTGGCTTCCCAGAAATCCTGGCCCAGCAAGTTGTACGGAGAAAACTGGGAAACCGATGGCTCCCATCAAATGAGGGAATAGAGGACCCTCTCTTCCGAAGATCCCACAGTCTTATCTGGAGGGTTCTCCACTAGGGCCACTCCTCTCTGTATCATGTTCACTCACTAAGACTATGTCCTTCAGCCCCCCACCCCGGCCTAAGGCAGAGATAACACAGAGACAGAGACAAGGGTGGGAGCGGTCAAGGGCAAGGGCACTTGACCTTCCTTTCTCTTCAGAGACCTACGCTGAGACACATGCTTTACTTGAACAAAACTGAAGCCCCCACTGAAGAGAATGAGGCCAGAATTAAAATAAAAGCCAAAAATAAACCCAACCCAGCCTAGACAACTGGCCTTTTGCTGTTGCTCAAACACAAATTTGCCAACGCAACATCCTCCCAGTTGTTGGAGGGCCGTTCTCCACAGTGTCCTACATTTCTGACCTTCTGAGCAAGAGGAATTAATGGTTCCAGACTATCTTTTCAAAGATGTTTATAGAGCAAACAGCCTTGGAAGACATGTCTCCTTGCAGGGCAGAGGCAGATTTGTTTGCTGACCAGAATGAAAAGGATAAGTCTCCTCATGGGGCAAAGGTTTGCTAGCAGCCCCTTGAAAAGCTTGGGGTTTCTTAAGCTTGAGGTTCCTCAGCTGGGCTGCAGACCCACCACGTGTGCAGCCTCTACCTGGACCTCCTCCCCACTGCCGCATGGGACTGGGGAGCAAGGGGAACCCATGCGAACATCAAGGTCGCGTGGCCTGCTGTGCCATGAGTAACAAAGTCCTTTGTCTGTGATCTAAGCGTCTGTGTCTTCTGCCAGCATCTGTGAACCGGGGCAGGCTAGACTTGTTAGCTTGCAAGCAGAGTGAAATCTCAGATACTTTCACAGTTCTTGACACCACTTACTTTAAGGGAAGAGTAGGAGAGATACATATTAAGGACCAGGCATTGTGCTAGGTACTTTGATATATATTTTATCTCATTTAATCCTAACAATAATCCTGTGAAGTGTTATTACTATTATTATTGTTGTTGTTACCATCAAAATATCATCATCACCATTTCATAAGAGAAAAGGTTTCAAAAAAGTTAAGTGATTTGCCTAAGGATACACAAGCTAAGAAAGGGCACCTGTTGGACTCCAAAGCCTTTCGAAAATAAAAGGAAGGGATGATGTGGTTTCCCCCTTCTTGTGGTCCCAGAAGCCCTTTGGGTTCCAATTCATTCAAGGCCAGGCTTTAATCTCTTAGCTGCTCAGTCTTTTAAGCTGCTTCCTCTGATGCCCGTTTCCTGAAGAAGTTCCAGAAGCTGAATGAAGTGGAACCTGGAAGTGCCCCTCCTGTAGCCATTCTTTTGCAGCACCACAGACGAGCCAGCCCCCCACTCTACCCCTGCTTACCCACAATATCTTCATAGGCATTCTCTTCTAAAGTGCTTTTGGATCCAAACTTGGGTTGGCTCTCAGTACCATTCTCAGTGGGAGAAGAGGGGTACAGGGACTGGAGACTGGATGCATCCTCAAACTCAAAGGATTTTCTGTGGATAACAAAGAGTTTGAGTCATTCCGGCGGAACCCGACTCCTGCTGCCCTGGTGGGGAATGGCTGAGGGCAAGAGCAAAGACCGGAGGTCCTCCTCACAAAACCAGCTACCGAGCAAAGCATCAAGATGGGTCCAAACTTGCCATCCAGATGAAGAGACAGATGGTCTGAAAGGCCCCAGCCCTGGTGCCTGCAAATAATACCAATAACAACTACCACAGCCGAAAGGGATGTTATGTGTCAGATGCTGTGTCATATGCTCTACACATGTTGGCCCATTAATCTTCACAATGCTGCTACCAGGTATCGTGCCACTTTAAGACTGATTAGCTGGAGGCTCAGGGAGATGAACTGATAGAGGTAGACTTGCCCAGGACGTCTGACTCCAGGGTCTGAGCTTTTGACTTGGGCCTCCAAGCCCCGGAGAACATCATTTTTGAGAAGTACCTGCCATTACCAGAGGAATTGAGTGCCTCACCTGCTCTTAAGAGTCTCACATCCTGCCGGTATCCGAGCAAGGTCTCTGGCACTGAGTAGGCAGCAAGGGCTCAACATTGGATGGGTGATGCTCACGGCTGTTTGGGGGTTGGGGAAGCAGCTGGTGGTGGGTGGTTTGTTGAAACATAAAGGCGCTGAGCCCTCAAAACAAATCATACCACTTCTGAGGTAGAACTAGGAGGGGGCAGTTGCAGCCAGCAGCTACTTCCCTGACCCAGCTTCCCTTCAGCTCGTCACCTGCTCCTTTCCATCCCCCAAATAACCTTCCCTTCTACTGCAGAACTTCAAAACCACAGCTGGTTAGCTTCTCAGACACCCTGAGCCCACAGTACCTGCTACTCCTCCCCTTCATCAGGGAGGTTCTTCCCTTCAACGTCTAAGGCTTGGTCCCAGCTGCATCCTCTCCCTCTCCAAGGCAGGTCCCTCCCAGGGAGGGAGAGAAGGAAGTGCGCTGACTGAATCCCTCCTCTCACCCATTAACACCTCCCTCATCTTTGGGAACCATCAGATCTTTCAGCTGATGCAGTCCTTTCTCTCTCGTTTAACGAACAACACCCCAAGGGCCCTGGGGTGCAAGTCAAGGACTAAAAGTGTCCTAAAGGCTACATCTTGTTCTCAGCTTGCCCAGCTACTGTGCAGTCCTCGACACAGCCAAACACCTCACGTTGGCCCTCTCCTCCCTCCTCTCTGTGACACGGTCCCTCCTGGTTTTCAACCGCGTCTCAAGCTCCTGTGAGGGATCCCCTTTTCCGCTGGCCTTTTCAATGCCACGGTCTCAGAGTCCTGTCTTCAGGACTTCCTCACCCTGCACTTTCTGGGGCCCCAATATTGACAACCATCACCATATCTACCATTTCTACCACGATGACTCCCAGATCTCTCTGTCACTGGCCCAGACTTTTCAACCAGCTAAATACCCAATGGCTGAGCACAGTGGTTCCTGAATGTTGGCCCGCAGACCACTGCTGGTATGAGAGCAAAAGCTTTCACTGATGTATACAGTGGAGTCAACATCTTATGCAGGCAGTTCTCAAATCAGCAAATGACACAAATCACGTTCAGGCAAATTATCCTTGAAAATCCCTCAGAAAGGTTCCATGTCGAGGACCAACACACTGTCTTTCATTATAACTGATATAGTCAGTTAAAAACAGATTTCTTTCTCTTTGGTTGAATAGCAGAAATATATGACTTGTATTTTTTTCTTAAATAAAAAAGTATATTAAATACAAGAATCATACCTGGCACAACAGATACAAACTTACTATTTCATGCTCCTCAGGGGAATATGCTCACTGTGCGGAAAGGCAAATAAAAAGCCTGTGCTTTTTGAACTGTTTTTCTTTATCTGTTTTTTTTTTTTTTTCCCCAAGAGCACAGATTTAAATTTGCTGTTAATTCTTACCGGAAGTGACTCCATATATGGTATATGTGTGTGTATATATTATAAATGTAATGTGTGTGTATGTGTAGAACCTTCAGGTTGATGTAACCTCCTCCCATCCCCTTTTTTTCACCTAGCTAAATGCTTCTTGCTCTTCTAAATTTAGCTCAGCGGACTTCCCTAGTGGCGCAGTGGTTGAGAATCCGCCTGCCAGTGCAGGGAACACGGGTTTGAGCCTTGGTCTGGGAAGATCCCACATGCCGCGGAGCAACTAAGCCTGTGCGCCACAACTACTGAGCCTGTGCTCTAGAGCCCGTGAGCCACAACTACTGAGCCCAAGTGCCACAACTACTGAAGCCTGTGAGCCTAGAGCCCGTGCTCCGCAACAAGAGAAGCCACCGCAATGAGAAGCCCACGCACCGCAACAAAGAGTAGCCCCGCTCTCCGCAACTAGAGAAAGCCTGTGCGCAGCAACAAAGACCCAATGCAGCCAAAAATAAATAAATAAATATATTAAAAAAAAAAAAATTTAGCTCAGCAACTCCCTCTCTGAAGAGGCTTCCCCCACTCCCCACTCAGATGCCTCTTCCTCTGGGTTTCTGCAGCATCCCACCCAGACGTGGATCAGGGCACGCAGCACAGCATCTACGATTTATTTATACATCTCCTGCACCAGATCCTTGAATGGAAGAGCCACATCTTATGTGCCCCTGTGTCCCCTTGACCAGCACAAAGCCTTGGTGCACAGCACGCTCTAGACAGGTATTTCTAGAAATGGATGACTAAAGACAAAGCAAACACTCTTGGCAGGCTTGACATGAAGAGTCCGTGAGCATGCTGAGGTGGGCCAAAACGTGGGATTACCTTTAGCCAAGGGCTCTTCTGGCTCATGAGTCTGAACCTTTGTGATGTCTTCCTCTCTGCACATGGCAGGAAAGTTTCTACATGAGATGGGATATGCTGGATGGAAGCCTGAAGTATGGGGTCAGATTGAAGAATCCCCAGAAGCCAAACAAACCTGAATGCCCACCTGACTCTGGGTTAGAAGAGAAAGGCAGTGAGGGGCAGGAGGACAGGCCTTCCAAAGGAAGCTGGCTCCCAGCCTACTCCAGTTCAGAGAACAAGATGCCTGTCATCTTGCACCAACTCCAGCTGCTCCAGCTCCCAAGTCACTATAATTGTGGAGGTGGCCCGGGTACTCCCGTGTCAGGAGACTGACCAGGAAACCAATGTGACCAGGTCCTTCTTGGACATGGCCAAGAAGCAGATGAAATGTTCTCTCTCTCCTTTTTCCATCAGTCTCCCCTTTCAGGATCCAAAGATCCCCTCTTCATATAAGCCCAGAGTTCCTGTATGGCCAGGAAGCCCTCAGGAAAGAGGAAATCATGTTAAATGTGTCAACACTTCTGTGTTAATGGTAACATGCAATATTTAGATGATGCTTCAGTCAAAGAAATAAAACTCTAGCTGGCATTTCAGGTAGTTACGAGGCTAAGATCTTACTAGTCCTCAAGGGACTGCCAATTCTATCTAAAAGTAAGGTGGCCCTACCCTTCCCACAGAGGAAGTTCCATCAGGGCTCTACTCCAAAGGCCAAACCCAGCCAGCATGTTCAGTACACAGCATTTGGAAGAAGCGCTTTCACCCTCCCACTCACGTTTAAGTATCCTTACCCTGCAAGAGCAGAAGAACAATCAATCTTTCTCACCTAGCTCATGCTTCACCTAACATTATTTGGTGCTCCAGAACTTATAAAGCACTACTGACTGTGACCCACAACTAGAGTCTGCTTCTGCATCCTCCACTGACAAGAAAGCCGCTGTGCCCAGCTCTACGTCACCGGAGGGGCATTCGTTACCTGCTCTGGGACTTGCGGTGACCACGCATGTCCTTCTTGGGTCTCCGGGTGACGGGTGGGGCTGGGGTGGAGGGCAGGGGGGGTGGAGCAGCAGGTGTGGGTGAAGGAGGTAGACCATTGCTTGGCTTACTCTTGGGGTTCTTGTCAGCCTCATATTCAAAGGTGCGCTTGGGTTTGGGGACAGGGTTCACAGCGGGATCAGGGGAGCTCTTCGATGGCAGCAGCTGGGAGGTCGGGCTATTATTTCCAGGGGTCCCCGGCTTAGTGGAGCCACTACCTTCCCTCTCCGGGGGTGAGCCCACCTCCCCCCCAACTCCAGCCACTCCTCCTGCCCGGCTGCCAGCGCTCACACTCGCGCTCCCTGTCGGTTCCTCCAAGGTGCCCAAGATCTCAGTCTTCCTTCTCCCTCGGTCTACACTGTAGCAGCTGCTGGGGAGCTGGGGAAGCCCCCCACCCGGCTGCTCCTTCAGGGCCTGTTCAATTTTCTGGATCCGACTCAGCACCGCTGAGCTCTCCTTCCTGCTGCCGTGCCCCCTGAGGAAGGCACTGGGCTCACTCCGGCCTGGCCGTTTCTCCAGACGGTAGAAAGAGTCCCGGACGGGGAGTGCCTCTCCCTCCTCCTCGGTCTCAGGGTAGGAACACTCGGAGAAGGTCCTGCTCATCCTCCGGAGGCCCTTGAAGTCGAAGGTCTTTTCTGAGCTGCAGGGGGACGGCACCACACTGGGACAGCCCACACTGGGGCAGCCCTCACTGGCCACCCACTCGCCCCCAGAGCCCTCCCGCTTCTCTCCACAAACGCTCATCCTGGGCGAAGCCTCTCGGCGACCCTCCCATGCTGAAATCTTCTCCCGGATGCCCAGGTTGTGGGCACGGGGGCTGGTGCGGTTCAGAAAGATGCTCCGTGGGCCTGCTGCTGACCCCAGGGACGGAGTGCTCTGGGCGAGGGGGAGGCAAGCAGCTACTCCCTCTGCATCCTGGGCTGCCCCCTGGACATTCTCCTTCTGCTCCTCTATCTTGCACACTGAAGGGCTTCTGTCCAAATAACCGAAGCTGGTGGCCTTGAGGGGACAGATGGGTGGTGAAGTGTCTGGGGAGGGGGCTTGAGGATTTTGGGGTGAAGGATCACGGGGATGCCAGTCCTTGAGGAGCAGCCGGGAACTGCAGCGGCTTGGGTACCTGCAGGCTGACGTTTCACTGTCACTGAGCGGGTAGATGGGACTCCTCGGTGGGGAGAGAACTGGAGGTGGAGAGACTGACTGAGACCTAAGAGGAAAAAAAAAAAGAAGAAGAGAAATGGCAGTGAGTGGCCTGACAACACTGTTTCATTCTTAAAGAGTTCAGCATCCCTTTCCTATAGGACTCGCAAGCTCAAAGTACTGTATGCAAGTAACGGACCTTCCAAGGCTGTCCTCAAGGAAAGAAACAGCTCCTTATCCACAGCAGGCTAAACTCAATGGTCCTCTCTGCCCAATTCATCCCTAGAGACCCTGAGTACTGTCTGCAACAGAAGCCAGTTCTACGACAGGCCAGGGTATCCCCAAAGTCCACATCTGCCAATCAGAGAACAGTAAGATCAGTGGTGTGCTGCTAAATGTTTAACAATCGGCTCCTTGGGCGAGAAAGCATAGATATGTAGCATCTGCCAACTTCCACAGCATAAATATTCCTACTATGGCTGATTTCAAACCAGCAATGTGACCTCATTGGATGTGGACTTGGGAAGAAACACTAATGATCAACTCTCATGAACTGTTACCAAGCATCTCCAGCATGCCACTTCCCAGAGAGGCCCCAAATATGCACTCAAGCCCTTTGATCTATCTCCTTGACAAGCCCCATCTCCCCCGAGGCTTCTGCTACTAGACGCGAGATACCACACCTCAGCTCGGGTCTTGATCAGAACTCAGATTCTTGAAGGTCTCAAAAGGATCAGGAGGGCCCTTGAAGAAAGAATCCTTTCCACGCTCTCAATGAGAAGGCTAACAGGGAGGGGAGACCAGCTCCTTCGCAGCTCTAGCCTCTAGCAGTGGCATCACATCAAACAAGCATCAGCCATTCCCCAGCTCCAAATCAACACCCTGGTCTTAGCAACTATCGGGAACAGTTCTAAATCAATGTTTTTACCTATATTTACTCACTGAATCTTCACAAAAACTCTGTCATATTATTATACTTTATTATTATCTTCATTTTGCAAATGAAAAACACTGAGGCATACAAAGATTAAATATCTCATTCAAGGTCTCTAGCTGGTACGTGGTGAAGCCAGGACTACACTATATTGCTGCTCTGAAGAGGAAGCAGTGGCCTCTGTCATCTTTGTGAACTGCCTGGCCCCCAGACATAGGTCAGCAGAAATCCCTACAGCACTGAGCACAGCCCTGTCTCCAATGTAGCGATTGTAAGTATCAGGGAACCTTTTAGTCTTCGCTACTAGACCACGATTTCTTCCAGGTAGAGGGACACATATTCAGTGTCTAGAAGGTGCTCAGTAAATGATGAACAAATAAAGACAAGAAAAGGTAAAGGTGAGCTTACCGAAGAGAACCATGGGCATACGTCCTCTTCAGCACACTTTTCTAGTTGTCTACTAGGGTCATCACTGTCAACTTTCAGAATTTTTCCCAAACTGTTTTAGTTCAAAGACAGCAGGGCTCTGCCAACACTGCATGCTACCAAGGCCTACCTGACCCTAATGCTGTGGCCCTCAAAGCCAAGCGGTCAGCCTCGCAGGCTCCAGAGCGCCACGCCATCCACGGAACGCAGCCAGCTGCCCCTGAGCCAGGCTGCAGTCACTGCTCCATCACACACAGAAAACTGCAGCTCGGGTGAGTCAGGGATTGGCCAGCAATTCCCTGTTGGGTCATAGCCTCTGGCTGCCCCCGATCAACAGGAAACCTCAACATGCTTAAGTTGTTTTTAAAAGGGCAAGTCAAACAAGAGCCCTCCCACGTGTACATGGGCACAGATGAGAGAAATTCGGTGCCCAGCCAAGCCGATGACCAAAGACACTCTGCTCGGCAAGGAGGTGTGAAAAGAGTAAGCCTCGGTACTCCCTAGGGTAGGCAGTGGTAGGGCAACGAGCCAAGCTTGAGCCTGGGGAGAGCCCAACCTACTCACAGTCGAGAAAAGCCCAGGCCCCTCACTTTTTTCACAGAACCATGGACGCAAAAGGTCATCAGTCCAGCCCTGTAAGCCAACAAGTGTCTGGGCTACACAAAGGACTCTACGTTTCAGTTACTCTCAGTTGGAGGCGGGAGAAGATGCCTTTTATAGAGGATGACCTTATCATGTGTTTATTCATTTAATAAATACTTAGTGAGCACCTAGTATGTGCCAGGCCCTGTTCTACATGCTAGATACAAGAATAAACAAGAGACAAAAATTCATGTCCTCATGAAGCTTGAATTCTAGTCAGTGATGGCCAGTACCCAATGAGATGCAGAATCTTTTAGGAAGCCTTTTCAAACTACATATGCCTCATTTCTCCAGACATTGTGATAAATGCTCCCCTAGCGATGTATCTCTTTAACCCTCAAGGTGAGAATTCACCGGTCCATGAAGCCACCTATGGTGGGGTGGAGGGGCGGGGGTGGCTCCCATAGGGGGACAGAAAAACAGTGAGAACCTCTGGTCTGTTTGATTCCAGCATGCTTCCAATGATTTCAGAAAGGATAATTCTGTAACTTCCCTCAGTAGTTCAAACATGGAGAAATTCCCACAAGTTAAGACATTCTCTCAATGCCTAGTCCACTTTAACCGAGGTTTAGTTTTTCTCCTCTCGTGAAAGATAAAACAGAGAAGAGACTGGTCCTTTCCTTTAAAGGTCCTGGTCTTCGGATCTTTGCTGATCTGAGGCCCAGAGCTGCAAGCGCTCCTCGCCCAGCCACCCCACACAGGCCAGGCCCAATGTGCTCCAGCAACTCGGGGTGAAAAGCGGGCCTGCCTATGCTGACCTGGAGCCCAGGCATCCACTGGTTCATCACAGAGAAGGCAATGTTTGCTCACTCCACGATCATAGATTAAGGCCCTGCCCTCATGGGGCTCCGGATGCTCACCTGAGGGTAGAACTCAAGGCATCTCTCTACATGTTTCTGATGCTACCTGTTATCAGGAATGTGACCGTGGGCAAAGCCACACACTCCCTTTGAGCTGCCAGTTTCAATTCCTCAGAATTGTTCCAACTGTATCACAGGGTTGTCATAACGGGCACATGTGACTATGGATATGAAACGATGTCATACATTGTAACTCATTATTACTGTTAATTAGTAGTAGTAAGTTTTTCACCAGGTTATCTAGGCCAGTTGTTCTCAGTAGAGGGTAAGAACATCACGGTTGCTGGGTTTAAGTTCCAGCACAGCCACTAACAAGTTACATGACTTTGAGCAAATAACTTTCTCTAAGCCTCAGTTTCCTTATCTGTAAAATGGAGGTTAAAAGGACACATATCTCAGAGGATTGTTGTAAGGAATAGAGACAATACGCATCAAGTGTTGCGCTCAGCGGCTCACACTAGTACTCAGTCTTAGCTTAATAATTACTAATATTAACAAGGAGCTGCCTAATCAGAATAATCACTTGGCAAACTTTTTAAAACAGTTTACCTCTATCCTTGGATTCTAAACATTTGGGGTGCGAGGGGAAAGGAGTAAATTAAATATGGCCATAAATTCTTTGCAGCTCATGCTATCAAAAGGTTGAGTCTATTCTTCTGCCCCTTGAATCTAGGCTGACCTTGTGATTTGCTTTGATGAATAGAATATGGTGGAAAATAAGTTGTCTCAGTTCCAAACTTGAGGCCTCAAGAAGCCTTGCAGTTTCCGCTTCACGCGCTTGGAACGCTGCCCTGAGACTGTCACGTAAGAAAGCCAGTCTAGTGTTTCAGAGGAAGAGAGGCCATGCGCAGCATCACTGCAGTCCCTCAGCCGACAGCCAGCCACCACATGGGCCTGACACATGGTGAGGTCATCTTGGACCCAACTGAACCAGTTACATGAGCGAGCCCAGGGGAAGCCAGTAGAGGAACTTCTCAGTGAACGCACAGAAACACGAGAAATCATAGATTGTTCTAGCCCACTAAGTCTTAGGGTGGTTTGCTACAATGCAATAGTAAAATGATGTTGTGGGAGAGGCACTGTGTGTAACTGGCCCTCCCCACTCCAGTGCAGGACCAGGGCCCTGGGCCTTCCAACCCCGTGCCTCTCTCTTCCTCCACTTCCCTACAGACCAGCTGCCAAGGTCTGAATGTTTGGACTGCATCCCTCTCCCCGGCTCTCTCTCACCCTACTAGAGGCTCTGGCACTCTTTTGGGAGTCTCCCCTGAACACTCCCTAGAAATGAAGCTAGTCCTGCAATCCCAAGAGTCAGCTTCCATTAGCCCTTGCTCCCAGGTTGAGGGAGGGCTCAGGAGAATCTGTTACCTAAGAACAGGGAGGCTTAAGGAGGAACACACTGGGGGCTAGCAGTCAGGATGCGTGTGTCCTTGTGACAGTGAGTTTACACAACAGGTGGCACGTCCTTGGCATGGATGGGAGAGGGTGCTCGCTCTTGGGCTTCAGTTTCACTCTCTAGTTGTTTCCCGGTTCCTCAAACTGAGGTTGGAAGTGAAAGCAATTCTCCCCCTGTTGGACAAGGAAAGGCTACGGCCAAGAGAATGACAGTGCTGGGACCCGGGCTGCCTTAGGAAGCCAAGCACCTGAGCAAAGCCTTCTTTTGGGTCTGGTCTCCCATTCTGCCACTGACCGTCTCCAGCTTCACTTCTTCAGGGCTCTTGGACAGCTCCTTGCCACCCTTCCCTGAACCCTGAACAAGGGAACAAAGGAAGCCACCTACTCCCCAGGCCACAGTGTGCTAACTGTACCAGGCTTAAGACACACCTTGGTTCTCCATTCAACCAGTATTTACTGAGCACCAACTATATACCAGGTACCATTTTAGGCATTAAGGACTGGCAGAGACTAAAAATAGACAGTCTCTCTCTACAGGTTACATTCTTTTTTTTTTTTTAATTTATTATTATTTATTTATTTATTGGCTGCGTTGGGTCTTCATTGCTGCACGCAGGCTTTCTCTAGTTGTGGAAAGCAGGGGCTACTCTTTGTTGCAGTGCGTGGGCTTCTCATTACGGTGGCTTCTCTTGTTGTGGAGCACGGGCTCTAGGCGCATGCGTGGGCTTCAGTAGTTGCAGCACGCAGGCTCAGTAGTTGTGACGTGTGGGCTCTAGAGCACAGGCTCAGTAGTTGTGGCACACAGGCTTAGTT